CCCAGATTTCTTCAAAGTTGCAAGTTTTTTCATCACAGCATTCACCAACCGTCAATAACAATGCCAAATTTCGAAGGCAGCTCGGCTTTGATAGATTCTTCCACAGAAACCGTGTTTTTCTCCATGTAAGATAGTAGACTCTGTTTAGAAATGGGCTTCAATTCGGAAAACTGTCGAGTGGACTCGTCTTCTACGAAAGAAAATGGTAGACCTTTGATTGTCACCCATTTGACCCAGGAGAAAACGTTTTCTGCTTTCCTGCTGACCGCAAAAGTTGATAATCTTGTGGTGTGGTGACGATTTTCCATCTCTGTTTGGTAATTGGGGTGCTGTTCGTTGATATGGTTCATCAAATTGTTGTATCCAAATCGTGTATTCTGCTTCCGGACTTTCCCACAGCGACAGGTGTGAGCATTTTCCCCGGTGCAGGCGAAAAAGAATTCTGTGATTTGCTTGTTTGTTAACTTTCGCGGCATTCTGTAATGTAGAAATGACCAAATGAGTTTCACGCCAGTGACGAGTAGCTATGGCAACGCTTATCTGAAATATAACACGTTAAAATGCATCGTAATTCAATTTCATCGTCATCCAATCAGAAGAGAGAGTGATTACATCGACTCGTTTACAATAATTGTATTGTCGACTATGTATTGTTTTTAAACAATCAATAATTGCAATATAAAGTTTGGCAGCAATCAATTATTCCATCAATAATATTGACAATAATTGTTCCGTCAATTATTTATTGCAAACCCCTGGCTGAACATCATCCAGATTTAGCTTGTCGAGCACGTAAGTACCTTTGACTAAAAATTGTTCGCTGAGGTTTCTAAACGATTGGATGGTCAATTCAACTGATCTTGCTTTTATCTGTTCCGAATGAAAGATCCATCGAAGAATTTTTCTGTTTCGAGGCTTTCGTCTAGCTGAAAAGAGTCGGATGTCGTTTGTAGTAAATAACTGTCCTCGCTTCCGTTGTCAAGAAAGGCATATGTTTTGATCTACTTGTTCTTGCTGCGGACGGTATCAGGTATCTAGAGCAGTAATGAATTTGTGAAGCGTTTCTGCTGTCGGTTGACTGAATTTTGTGGTCTTTCTGAAGCTTGTTTTTGCGGTGAGAACTTTCGAGAGCTGTCTGGTGCAAATGATGCATGTTCGCTTCCAGATGCAATCTTTTACCGTATGCTTTCCAAGACAAACGTTTTCTGCATATATAAGCTTTCGCTTATCGCCAATTGTCAAATCTTCGTAATAAGGGCAAAGTGAGGGGTCATGATCCAATTCACGAAAAGGACAAAAAGTTCCTATTCTTTCAGTTCTTTTTGTGTTTTTCGAGAAGTTGTCGGTGTATGTTGAGGACTGGTTATCGCGATGGTTGTTGATCTGGCATTCACTGTTTTTTTTGGTTAGATGAAAAAGGGCTGGCAAGATGAGGAAAAGAAGTTACCCTGGGGAAAGTAGTCACAAGCTAAGGCTCATTGTCTGAGCCAATGACTGAAATTTACAAGGCTAGGCTGCTGAATGCTGTTGTTGATGATGTATTGGGTCCACTGTAGTCGCTCAGAGCGGTGATTGAAGTTTGTTGGCTGCAAACTGCAAGTAAATGGTGGAGTTCAGGTAGTTCGTGAATCCAAGTGTCTGAAACGTTTCCGCAAGATTGGAAATAAAAGATGAAAACTCCACAAACGATTGCTATGATGTGCCGAAGGGATGCAGAGTTGTTGCAGTCTGTAGATGTACTGGTTGACAATTATGTCTGGTCTTCTAAACCGTAGTACGCTTTCCTGAAGAGCACTTGCAAAAATAGCGCTGTTAGTTGAGAATCCGAAGAGTAAGCCGTACCACATGTTCCATTTGAATTGATCACCGTCGTACTTCTCAATTTTGATCTTCGGTAGTCCTGATGTCTGTGTAATTGTTGAAGGTGCAACTGGCGCAGTGTAAGCTCCGGTGTTGATGTGTGTCTGTGTCGTGAAATTGGTTGGTTGAAACGGTAGGCAGCAAAACTAGTTGATTGCGGAATATCTGTCGGATGTTGCTCTTGAATGTTGAGCAAATTTTGATTGTTCTCAATTGATAAACGCGTGTTTGCTTCTGAAAACGAGGGCTGTTGCTGTTGAGTTGACATGACCGTTGATGAATTAGCGCTGAAGTCAATAAGATTGATGTTGATGTTGTGGACCTACTGATGTTGATTGCTGCAGAATTAAGTCTGTCGGGATGCTGTTTCGTTTGAGTAGTCTTCTGTACTCACTGAAATGGTCATCTAAATTGTCTTCAATTCCACCGAATATTGACATGAGATCACCTGGCTGTGAGTATTCTGTTGGATGATCGCTGAGGTCAGTCGTCGATTCCTCAAGCTGCTTTAGAAAAAAGTTTGCTTTGAATTTTACAAATTTTAGGTTGTTTTCCTCTTCTGCAACGGCCTAGGTGATTCGGCTGTGGAGCCGTTCGAGTGATTTTACTAGAAATTTGCACTTTCCTGTAGGCATTCTGTCATTTTTGCTATTCAGAATCAAATTGTGCGATGAGCAGATAAATTCTCTTCATTTCTACGACGAGCTATTACAAAATAAGGCTTATTAAAAATCTTGAAAAGCCTATTAATTATAATCTGCGAGAATATGAGCTACGGGCCTTTCCTTTTTTAACATACGTTACTGTTAAAAAATACTAACAAATGGAATTTTTTTTTTAAATAAATAACTTTCCAACTTTGAGCCGCGAAGAAATGAAACATTCGCAATCCTCAAAACCTTTTTTTAGTAAAATCAGGTAATGATTATGGTAAAATACAAGGTCATGTTCACGACGGCATTGATGATATCTGTTTTGATTTACAATTGGTATGATCTGCGAAATTTAAGGATGATAAAATTAATTTGTTGCCAATTAGATGTCAATCGCAAACGCATGAAAATTACAGCCTGGTACTTCTTTAAAGAAGAACAAATTTTACCCCTTCTTGACAATAAAACTGTAGTTGAAAATCTACTTGAGTAGTAAAAATTGGGGGTCTATCGCTCATTTTTGGCTTCTAAGTATTAATATTGAAATAAATTATTGTAACACTTTTCTCTTATCTACTTAATTGTCCGACAATTACACAGGTAACAGCTCTTAAACAAATAATTAAGTAATTCACTCACAGTACCTTCCTGAATCATACATTTAAGAAAAAAGTGACAAAAGCCATGCCAATCAACCGAATGCTGATATGTGTAGACCTAGCAGTTTTAAATTGAGCGATAGCAGGAGCCAGAAGTGAGCGATAGACCCCCCAATTTTTACTACTAACGTGATTTTCAGCGTCTTAAAGCGCTCAATGAATGAAAACTGACTTTTGTTGATCATAGTAAAATATTTGTAAAGCTTTTTCAAATTCAAACGAAAAAAGAAGGTTACTGTGCAAGTAGCAAAAAATGTTCCGACCATAGTCCTAAAAAACACAACAAAAAAAAAGATTTTCAAACTAAAATCGTTTTTTTTTCTGCGTGGTGTGATTAAATTATCGGAACAAAAAAAACTTGAGCCAGATCATAATCGGCAATTAAAGTAAAATAAACCAATTGAAAAAAACTATTTTTGTAGAAAAATGACAAGAAAGAAAACATCAAAAAAAATTTGTTTTTTTTTTTCCATTTTTTGACGTTTTTGTTTTTGACGTTACTAGGTGTTTACGGCTTGAATTAGGTAATTATAAGCTTTTAAGCTATTAAATAAACAATTGTAGGCCTGCCCACTCACTCGGACTAAGACGAAAAATCAAAAATTTCAAACCGGTTTTTCTGGACACTGGAAAAGTTTTCTGAAAATTTTTATGTCGTTCAAATAACAAATCAAAGGGCTTCAAAACGATATATCACTTCTTTCTCTCCATTGATTGTTTGTGGTACAAAAATTTTGCGTGGAAAACCAAAAAAAAAAGAAAAAAACTAAAACACCCGTATACAAAGTTCCTCCCACTTTTTTAAATTGTCGGAACAAAAACTATATGAATTTGTAATTTTTTACACAGAAGCTTTACCAAACAGGCAAAAATGCTAGCAAAAAAAACGAACCAAAAATTCAATCACTTCGCCCCTTACGCGTAATAAACATCATTAGACATGTTTTTATAAGAAAAAACCCAGGAAGTATTGGGTGCTGTATGGGCGTAATTCAACTTACCTTACAACACAAGCGTCGGTTCGAGAAAATTTGACAAAACTTTTATATTCCGCTGAGCATTCTTCATTAAGTGATGAAATTATGAAACTCAAAGTCGTGCGCTATTTTTACAACTAACTTCTGTACTGCAGAGCAATTTTATACATATGCTAATTTCATCTAAAAACGACATACAGCAAATACTCATATAAGAAATGAAAAACTCATAGAAGTCAGCAAATACGTTTTCTAAAAAACTGGAAACCCACGATACTCAACACCAGCAAGTGAAAGCTTGAGTTTGCTCAAAGACACTGATTAACAGCTCAATTGTAGGCTGGCAATAAAACACATCCAACAGAGGGTTGGTCAAAGAAAACTGTATAAACATTAAAATATAAACATTGCCTTTTTTCAACATTCTCAAATTTCGAAATTCACAGAAAAAAATATATCGAATTGAAACCCTTTGAATTTCAAATATTAATTTTTGATACTTTCACAAAATTAACCGATTAGAAAAAACTTGATTAAAAGATAATTTTTTATTCTACTGTTAAATAAAAAAAATTGAAATCCATTTTGAAAACTGAAGGTAAATCCCATCAATCTTTCAGCAATTTAATTTGAATTGAACTCAAAAAGAAATCAAACGTCAACTCGGGCAAAATCAATTTCCAGTGTGAATAGTATTTAGTTATCTTTCCTGAAAAACTACCCGAGCTAAAGAAGTGATAATAGATATTCTAATTTAGCTATAAACTGAGAGCAACCATTGCGATTTTACAAAATTGCAAATATTACTTTCCTTGCAGGGTCTTAGATATTTGACCATTTCCTATCTACAATGCATCTTCACAAAAAAATAGAATCCGCTTTTTTTTCTACAGAAAACATTAAGTATACAAGAAAACATTAAATATACAAAATCAACTATCAGCAGAATCCAAACTGAGAGCAACATTAACATCATGGTTGTTATTTAGCCGCGATTCCTGCTTTGTTTCACCATTTGGATAATCCAAAGTTCGAGGCCGTTTCAAAATTTCGTTTTCTTTGACCATCTCTGGTTCGGGTTTTGAACTTTGGAGATCATCCAGTTTTTTCAGATCTTCAAAAGGAATGTGAGCTTTAAGCTTTTCAGGAACCACTTCAAGGTAATGTTTGAACTGATCTTGCAGCTTGTCGTAAAATTGTTGAAGACGGTCGCAAATTTCAGAACGTTGTTTTAATTGTACCTGAAGACAGAAAAAAAAAGATCAGTAAGAAAGATCAAATATTTTCAAATTTCTTTATCTAATGTTTTGACTTCTTATTGTTCCGACCATTGAAAATGGGGAGGAACTTTGTATTCTATGTCCTTTAATTTTCTTTTGTTTTCCCCTCAAAATCAGGTACCACAAATCATCTACGGAATGGGTCGAGTGATATATCATATTAAAGTCCTTTCAGTCGAAACTCGAACATTAGGATTTTTTCAAAAATTGTCCCAGTGTCGAGAAAAACGGGTAGAAAGTTTTGGATATTTATTCCAGTTTCGAGCGAGTACGCTCGTGTTATGAAAATTTACTTTTTTAAAGACTATTAGGATGAAAAAAAAACTTCATTTTAACTAGTTTTGGATGTTTCATTCAGCGTTTATTTGGCTATTTTTTTTCCATCTTTTTGCTGAATATTCATTTTTGAAGATAAATATTGTCGACCATGCCTAATTCACTAATTTTCTACGCGATTGTATAGTTCTCGAATCCTACGACCCACTAAAACCGACACTAATATGGAGAAAATAAAAAAATCTTTTTTCTTCTTTTTTTTTATGAATATGGTCTGAACATTGTGATACTTGCGCAGGAACCGGTTATCCTAATATGGTTATACAATTCTACACTCTACTAAGGAATCGAAACAATATAAAGAATCAGATTTTGTCTCCATTCCAGCGAATTTTCAATCAAATAGAGAAAGATACAGAGAGAGGCTAGTTATTCGCCGATGCCTGGCGACTGGTAATTAATATTTTTATATTTCAACGCATACTATTAATCGTCCACTTCTCTAACGGTTGCGTAGACTGAATGGAAAAGCATTCATAAGCTTTCTGGATACTGAAAAAACTGACAGATATATTCCTCGATGCTGAATTATATACTCTTTTTTGAATCCTAGTCACGACATAGAAAACTACACTCGTTCACATACGAGCTTTCACAGAGGTGCCCGTAATCATGCGGAAAATTCAGCCGCCTATGGCTGAAAATACTTCAGCGATGAAACTTCTTTTTCTATCAAAAATTTTTATTATTTTTCAGAAAGCCGAAAAGCCAACTTTCAGCGAGCAGAAAGCATTGGAACGTTGCCCTTGCCGCATCCTGTAATAACCGCTAAGAACCAATTGCGTGTAATAACTTTAGCTCCCGCTCGTCACCATTTACCTTGGGAGCTAACGCTTCAATTTTTACCAGCTCTTTCTGGGAGCTTAATTGGAGATACATCCAGTGGAGATACAACGTCGGCTTACTGACCGTTTAAAGCCAATACAAAGCCTTTCAAACATCGAAATGCAAAAACTAACAGCTAAGGATAAACCTGTTGGCATGATTTCTTCCATACGGTCAGTAACAGCACGGTATCCAGAAGTTTTGGAAAGTGTCTCGCTCTTTCAAAGGAGCGCGTATGCCGTAAGAAATCACCATATTGATTTCCCAAACCAAGTAACCTAAGTCTCGAAAATTAGCTAGGTTTCCTTCCTATCGCAAATCAAACAGTAATAAATGCCGCGAGACCCTCTAGGGCGTTGAATCTTGACGACTTATGCAGCTTTTTAAAAAACAATTTAACCTATCCCTCAAATTTAATAAACCCCTCTAAGTTTGTAAAAACTCAAAAGCTGCAATTCACTTCAAGCCTAGCCTAACAAAGAATTTTCTTACCGAATTCATAACGCCGGTTTTAATTTTTAAAAAAAAAACACATGAATGGGCTTCGACGTGGGGTGCCAGCCACCGTAACCTTTTAAAATTACTACATGGCTCCAGCGTACCCGAAGATTCTTTATTATGAGGATTCTTTGAATAACTGCTGATGTGATATTAAGGAGTGAAATAATACCTTGAGCATGACGCGTACTGTTTCCCTGGCCTGGTGGGGCCTGAACTCGTTCACAAGGTGCATCATGTGAACCAACAGACTGTTGAGACTGTCCAGTTTCTGCTCCCTTTCCTGGTCACTCGCTGGATTCCTAACAAGGATGTCAATCAGATCCAAAAAGTTGAGCAGCACTGAGTGGTTCATCTTTTTCAACTGCTCCTTGTGATCGAACTCTAAAGGATGCAGTCTGAAAATAAACAAAAACCCATTACTTTTTTACTCGAGGCGTAGATTAAATACCTTTTTTATATATCTTTTTAAAAAATACTGAGAAAAACTGGGACGCAGATCGCATAAGCTCAAGAATCTGTAAATTAATCATTTCATTCCAGAAGCGAGAAGTCAATAATCGTTTCACTCATTGCTCGACTAGTCCAACAAAGTGCATATTTACCGTGGAATGCCTTGAGATTCGAGTGAGCTCACAATCGGCTCTTCGGTGGACACCGAGTACTCTTGACCATATATGGAAAACTGTGGCCACGGAGGTACTGGAGGGGGCTTGGGAGCCTCATCTGCCGCCACTGCTTCGTCAGTGTATTGCGATATGAAACACATAGGGGGATTCGGGTATGCAGATACTGTGGTGGGTTCGCTGGTAAGAAGAGGGTTGTTGCTCATCGTAGAAGGGCCAGATCAGATGATGAATTAAGTCAATAAACAACTCAAAGTGTCTGAAAATTATGTTTTTGAAACTGAAGACCATAACCTTTATTTCAAAATAGATTATCTAAAATAGACGACATTTTCAAGACTGCTCTTTTAATTTGATTAGATTTAAAAAATGCAGTAAATCAACAGGCAAAGTTCCGATCGTTCAGATTTTCGTTCGATCGTTCAGATTTGTCCACTTGAAAAAAAGATTGGGATATTCACGTGGCACGGCCGCATAATGGGTGCGAGCGTGGTAAAAACCGCAGTTAAAATTTTGGCAGTGCTTCCACTATGTGTAATAAGATAAAATCTAGAAAGCTTTCCATTCAAAACAGCATGACAGGTTCTTATCTGAACTCATATCAATTGGTTTTTTTCTAAACCAAACTCTCAGAACTTTTGTAATTGATCTAATCGCAAATAATGGGTTCCCAAAAAGTTATCCGACATTCAGTGTACTTGAATTTAGCAGCCTTTGTTTTTTCCTAATTTATGTTGAAGATCCCGAATTCTTTACGCAGATGACCTTTAATATCGCGGGTCAATTCCACTAACTTATAAATTGACCTGTCCGCTCTACAGCAGTGATATAGTGACAATTTTCTTGATTACATCCTGGGAAGTGTTGTTATATAAAACTCTCCAATTCGATAAAAATTTACTATATTGTGCTCAAAGCTTCGAAGCCCGTGGTGTAAAATTTTTTCAGATTTAAGTTGGTAATTTCATGTAGCTGAACTACTCTACAAGTTTTATTAAATTTTCCGAAAAATCAAAAGAATGGTTCTTTCAGTTAGCTGAATCCTTAGATCAGTTAGCTGTAAAAAAAATTATATTCTGTCTAATCCAAAGAATACTTCAAAGGCTTGTTCCCAAGCAAAACAAGTAGGCAAGAGTTGTTTAATAAACGATGCAACAAATTGGTTAGAATTAGCGAAGATTATAACTCATCTATCTCGAACCTGAAAATTTTATGTGTTTGTAATAAGCTCCAAAATATTTGCTTTCTGTGTTTTCATCGACTAACATATGGGATAACACTTTGAGATTTAAGAAAATAGACGAAGTCAAGGTTAGTAAAACTAGAAACAGCAGTAGTGAAAGAGAACACCAAACAACTATAATGTAAAAAAAAACTTTCAAAAAACGATTCTACGACATGGCAACTAAGCCGACAAAACATAAGCAAAAAATAATAGTGTTGCAAGATTCGAAACCAGGACATTGGCCGTCCCAAACGCATTCGTTTACCTCCAGACCAACTGAATTAATTTTACACAGAAGCAAAGCTCTATTTTGCGAACACATGCAAGAAATCAAATAAAAAGTACATCAAAAATTGAAAAAATAAATCTTTTTTGACATAAAATTCGCAAAAAAGTCCAAAAATTCTGGAAAAAAATTACCAGCACCATCACAAATTTTACAAGGAGCTTCCGGAATGCTAGAAATAACCGACTTTTCAACATAAGCGAAGTTGCACTCCGCATACACCAGCAAAAATATGACCGATAACGCTACTGGGAAAAACTGAACGATAAAAACTTTGAGTCTAAAACATTTCTTAAGTGACGCACGCCAATTATGAGTCTACATAATAGCTAAGTGACGCAAGCCAATTATGACGCTTTAGTATTACCAGTCAATTTGAAAAAAAAGAAATTTACGAACAAACTTGCCTCAATTTATAGAGCGGACGCATTTTATCTAGTATACGAAAAGTTCATTAAAAACATCCGACCCGGCACAGGTTCGAACCCTCTTAATTTGTTGTGGTTTTCCTTCCCTACCTCTACGCTACATATCCATGGTACCTCGACGCTAAATTGCTATTTGTTATTTAATAGTCTGTGTTAATATCCTTAGCATTGGCTGTACTTAATATCTGGTTATTGATCAAAATGATCACCTTCAAAATGAACAAATTTAGTCGCAACAATATTTGCGTCGCAACAATATTTGCAACTTAGGTTGGAAAAAAAGGATAGATAGTTCATTTTATAACACAAGATTTGCTTGTGTGAACAAGTCCATTCTGTAATAACTAAGCTTAGCAAAACTAAGCAGACAGACAAACATCTAAATTAGCCAAAATTTTCGATTTGCAAAAAATAAGCCTTGACTGGATTCAAACTCCCGAGCTTTGTCGTCAAGCATGGGTATTTAAGCAACTTAGAAGAAAGCTGAATCTTTGAAAAGAATGGGCAAGGGAAACTAAGCCGACGAACAGAAACCGAAGGACGACAGTCCGAAAAACACAAAAACTAAGGATGGAAAAAAAAAATCCCGGCCGGATTGAAACCACAAGCCTTCGCTGTCTCGAGCAGATGTGTTAAAAACAAAGGAAGTATAGGAATGAGTCCAGTATACAGGAGATGAGCCCTGCGAACAAGGTTAATTAGGGGAAAAAAGACTACTACCCGATTACAATACCCTTGTTTATCGGAAGGGTAAAAAAGGAAAGAGAAAGCAATAAAAAACGTTGAAAAATTCAAAAATTTGTCATCTGCCGTAATCAAACCTCCGACTTGTAGATCAGTCTAACGTCCTCCTTGTGCTTTTGGGAATACGCTAGCCAGTAATAAAAAACATGCTATTAAATTGCCAATGCTAAGCAGCAAAAGAGTGAAAGTAAAATACGCACTCCTTCATGCGAGTTAAGTTAGAAAAAAATCGATTGGCATTATAACACTACGCTTTTTGGCAGGCATGCGTAAATAATCAAAAAAAGTTCTCTGCAAAAAGTAAAATTTATCTATTGATTCATTTTTGTTTAAATGTGTTTTGTCAAACTTTAGCACATCAAGAAGTATCAAAAAATCATACGAAGTCAAAAATCAATAAGATGATATTTTTTTCTTCGAAACTTGAAAAACTTTCAAAGTCTTGATTTTGTTTCGGTCCCACTTTCCAACTGTCTGGAAAAATTTTCAAAGTTCTTGATTTTTTTTGGTCTCACTTTCCAACTGTCTGGAAAAATTTTCAAAGTTCTTGATTTATTTTGGTTTCACTTTCCAACGGTCTGCAGACTTTGTTTTTTTTGAAATATACTAGAATTTTTTGAAACCTTTTTTTTACTGAGATGATCGTTCTGCAGATTATTTTATGCTTTCAAATAAAATTCATGATCCCTCAAATTTTGTGTAAAATAGAAATTTAAAAAAAATAGTTCTGTAAATGAAGAACTCCATTCTTTCCACTCTTCGCTAAATTTGTCTCTGAATACCGAATAAACTGAACTAGTTTGTTTTGACATCTTGACTTTTGTTTAAATCTGAATCGCGACTGAAACACTTTAATGTGATACCGCAATTATTGGCCAACGCGCGTTTTTCAAGGTACCTGACAAAAAAAATGCACCATCGTTCCTTCTCGCGCCACTAAAAAGTCGTCAAAACAAAATTCAGCTGATGTTTTTGCAGCACTTTTGGGTAATTTGGCAAAACAGCGTTAAAAGTTTTTGTTTCTTATATAATTAGTAAGGCATGCAGAAAAAACTTTTAATTAAAACTAAAGTCTTGTTCGATGTAATATTCATTCTGAGTTCAATACAAACTGTTTACGGTTTCATCTATACAATGTGAATTATTAACTGATCACATCTTGAACTTGTCTTTCATTTCACGAACCAATTGCATACAATTGATGTCATCATTAGTTTTAGTCAGACTCCTCAGGTCGGGTTGCATCACTCGCATGAATGGATTTGTCAACTTCTCCTCCGCAATTGTAGACGGAACTGTGTACTTGCCTTGTTCTCTCATTTGCTACAATCAAATTCAAGACGAACGAAGTTAATATTAAATGACTTAGTTATCATCCCTTTCCAAATCACCGACATAGTCAACAGAAAGCGGAAAGTGTCAATGAACTACGGGGAAATAAAACATCTAAATGAATCTTCCACAGCTAGTTTTTATTCATAAAATCCATTTTTTAAGCTCAATTGACCGATTTTCCCTAAATTTGCATGAAAGAAACGTTACTTGATTGCATAACTCGCTCGAAATAAGACTAAATCTCAAACATTTCAAATCAGTTTTTCTCAACACTGGACCATCTTTTTGAAATTTTTTGAAGGTTGTTCGAATCACGACTAAAAAGGCTTTAATATGTTATATAACTCAACCTATTCTTATTTGTGGCACCTGTTTTTGCGTGAAAAAACTAAAATGCATCCGAACATAAAGTTCTTCCCCATTTTTAATCCTGCAACAGTTATTACTTGTGATATGAAAACGAAAAACTTTCTTAGGCAAGTGGTATCATGGTTCATGAGATAAATTTGAACAGACACTACTTTGAATCATACCTTGGCCCATTGCAGTTTCTTGGCTGTATGTTCATTTTTGGGTTCCACTTTATGGCCAAACGATAAGTTCTGAATGGAGTACTCATGTCCACAAAAAACCTAAGAAGAAACAAAACTTATTGATATAATTCTATAAAAAAATCCACCAATAGCCATACTTTAAGGCTCTTAGCAAGTTTATAACTTCAAAATAACCCGATCTGAATAACTATTTCCCGTTGAAATCTCGATTGTTAAAAGAGTTCTATCTATACCACTGATTTTTGTGAAGTACTTTACTCCTGTAGCACAACCACGGTGAAAATTGGAGAACTACCAAAATTTATCAGGCTAAAACGAGGGGTAAAATTCCAAATCATCTATAAGGCCACCAAATGTGTATATCGTGGCCTTAAAAAAGCTATGTAAATATCGTGGCCTTATTAGTAGTATCGTGGACAAACGTGTATATCGTGGCCCATAAAAAGCTTGAATTATCTATACCGCAATCCAATCGCAAGCGTACATACGCCAAACAAGCAGGTACGGATCTAGAATTTTCGTTACATGAATATGCTTATAAAAATGTAATTGGAGACTTTCCCTTTTCCGGTTGTTCATTTCACTTTTATGTTTTCCCTAAAATATTAAACATACCAGCGTCTCATCAGGTAGACCTGCAAGCACCACATTTAGTGCGTGATGCATCTGTTCCGCTGTTCCTTCAAAGAATCTCCCACATCCCCCTATGAACAGAGTGTCCCCGGTGAATACTGCGGGTGGTAGAGGAGCACTTCCGGCCGAGTTAGAATGTACAAAGTAGCAGATATGTCCTGTAGTGTGACAGGGTGTGAAGAGACATCTGACGGACAAGTTACCTGAAAAAAGAAATAAACAAATTTTACTCAAAATTGTCAAATTAGTCAGATAAACCTACAAGGTTACTAAATTGCTATCTGAATTTAGCATTTATTTAATTCTGAGAAAATCACTGATTGATTTTTTTTTGGGTTACAGTTATTAGGCAATGCCAACAAAAAAAAGAATTTAACTTTAGATCAAGGGGTCACACAGCTGGGCAAAATGAACTCGCTTAGGCTCACTATATGTGGAAGAGCTTGTAAACATCACTTGGATCATGCCTATGATTTTCAATGGACACATGAATCTACTCACAGAGGCTAAGCTGCACCCTAAAAGGGTCACAAGGAAAAGGAAAGAAAGGAAAGTATTGAACCATCGACCTCGAGTTTCAACTTCCCGCGTCCCAGCATCTGCGCCATTATCGCTTCACATAAGTGAAACAATTTAAGCGAAGCTAAAGCTGGAGATACCTGTTTGATAATATTTCAAAAAATATACTGATGCGAAAAGTAAATTTCCAAAAACGAAAAAAAATCAAAAAGGACTTTCGCTAATTCCAACATTGCTTTTCTACAACAATAAGGACGTATAGGACGTAGCCGCAATCAAAAGAAAATTCCTAGCGCATGGTCTTTCGATTGAACTTTTCTTCGATTTGGCAGTGTAGTTTCAAGATAATTCATAAAGTTTCCGGAAAACAGTCAAAATTTCAAAAATGGACATTTACTACATCCAATATTGCGCTTCTGCAACAACTAGGACGAAGCGGCAATCAAAACAAAATTTCTAGCAGATTTGGCAGGGTAGTTTCTGACAAAAGCCTCCAAAAAAGGTCAAAATTTAAAAGTTACTTTTTCTAGGTCCAAAACTAACTTCCTACAAACAATTGCGGCGTAGCTGCTTCTGCAGAGAAAATTCCATTCGCCTTTTCTTTCCTACAAAAATCTTAATCTGAGATTTGGCAGGGACGGGTTCAAGAAAACCAAAAACTTCCACAAACGAACAAATTGTTTTTTTTTTCAAATGGACTTTTGCTAAGTCTAACGTTGATTTTCAACAATAATTAGAATTAGGGCGGAGCGGCTATGAAGAGAGACTTTCTAGCGCCTGTTGTATCGATTGAACTATTTTGGCTTTAAAATATGCAAAAAAGGGGTCAAGGTCAAACCTCCCCCCCCCCCCCCCCCCCTCACTGAAAGCTTCAAAGGCTGTAGAACGAACGTCGAGTTAAGTAAAAAGAGACAATAGAAGTATACAGGCAGACAGGCGAATAGCCGTTCTACGTTTTTGAAAACAGATTAAGTAGTGCTCGAGAAAAATTGAATTTTTTGCGAAAAGAGCAAATATTTTCACAAGCGTCTCGAAAAATAACAATAAAAAATCAAATCCCATATAAGTTCATAATATCTGTTCTTTATATCAAACGGGAACTAGTCACCCATAAACTAGATACAAAAACATAACGCTATGCAAAAAAAAAAAGTAAACCAAATATAAAACTCCGTAAGTGCCACTTTTTATGAGCACTTTTATTTGCGACTTAGTTTGGAAAAAAGAGGATATCGTAAAGACACTATGCTATCTTGTGTAATATCTGCAACGTCGACCTCAGTAAATGTTTCCCCAACATTGCCTACCGATTTTAATAACGTCGTCGTGCTTCACTTTGTGACTCAATGCCGGAATCCTGTCATCTCCCCCGTAGAGCGGAATCCCCGGATACATGCTAGCTAACTTCTCATTTCCCCCAGAATGGTCCATGTGATGGTGAGTAGTGAGGGCACTGACCAATTTATAACCTGGCCAGTGATGAGCATTTTGAAAAATGGATTTTACATAATAAGTTTGATGATACATTTTCATTTCAGCAATCGCAGTAATGTTAAGAATTAGTAATTCCTAATCTTTGAAATATCTAAATCTAGCTTCTCGCAAACTCTTCAAATTGATCTGAATATCTTATATGCACAAGATTTTTCCTATTTGAAATTAAATATTGACCAATAATTTCGAACTTCAAGACACGCGACAATTCCAATTAGCCGTTTTCACAGCTTTTCTTGGAAACTCGGTATTATTGAATATCGGGGACAAACAATTCCCTTCTATGCTATGAATTTCTTAACTTTTACTCGCCTCTTGCACACAGCACACTACACGATACGAATGGTAATCAATGCTCAACACTGAACCTGGCTCTATGGCTTTAGCCAGTTTCTCCGGCTCCACTGGATCAACAGCTGCAACCTCCTTCGCAGTTTCATCATAAATCAGGTACATCAAATTGTCACCCAAAGCCGGCACGAAATTCACCCGCATTGACATCTTTCTCACGAAGCTTTTCAACATAGGAACTCAATTACTCAATACAATTTCAAATCAGCCACCTTATTATCTGAAATTATACCTATTTGTCATGCTTCGGATTCTCAAAAAGTCGAAAAAGTTCTCTGAGTCGATAAAAACTGGTCTGAATTTTCGTTTTTCAGATTAAATTAGACGAAATTCAATGAGGCTGACCTCCTTAATTTAATTCTATTAGAATTTTAACACCATAGTTTAATGTTTTTTTTTAAACTAAAGTTACCGCTCTCCTTTGAGTTTTACACCTAATTCAATCGCCCTTGCTGAAAAAATAATAGAAAAGTTTTTAAAGATTTAAAAATATATATATTTTTTTTTTGAGTTTTTTTCATAGATCAATTTCATCGTTCAAGATTTAGAACAGGCTCAAGGAAAGTTACCAAGACTATACTAGAACCATTCACAAACATTTGAGAAACGTTTCGCTTCTGCAGTCTACGCGGTAGCACAGTTACTGTTGTTGATTTTTGTGAAGTTAAAAACAAATCACGCAACTGCGAAACACCAAGAGGTTCTTCTTTGAAAAAAGCACCTCCATACAATGGTATTCGCCAAATTTCACAAACATCAATAAGACATACATTGCAGTAACGATCAAAAGCCAAAACGAATCCGACACAAATTCCTCGAATGCCTTTGAAAGACCTGGTCACAACTGCAACCTTGCGATGTGACTTCAATGCTTTGCTCAAGAGAGATTGCGGACCTTTTCTGTTCACATTTGAAGTGAGAAGATTGTAACTTTCAAACTTAGTCTTCCTCTCATCGCGTTTCGAGTCTCTCAGGTCAGCTTGTTTCTTCTTCCGATCTTTGTCAATCTTCGTAGTTGAAAACTCTGCGGCTTTTTCTTTCTCAACTTCTTTCGTTAAAGACTCGGAAAATAATTCAGTTTCCTCGTCAATATCTGTGATATTGACCCTCAAGATTGCATTTGGTTTTGGGAGAGTTAGTTGACGCTGTGACACACATAGGTCCCAGTTAACCTTTTCAGAAGTCACGTCTAGTTTAGGATCAACTTCTATCGCTTCGGATGTTTGCTGATTTGTATTCCTCGAATCTTCAGAATCGCTTTTAACATTCTCGATTAGGACTTTAGATGCATCAGACGAAGTGCATGGTTGAATGGTTATATTAGTTTCATCACGAGTTTCATCTGAATAGAAATCAGATGCCTTCGGCAAGCAGTGCTCGGCCATTCAAGAAGCATTTAGATCTTTAACACTTACTTTTATACTTTCCGCGAAAAAAAACTTACTATAGGTACTTTTGAAACCAGATCAGCCAGTTGGAGCGATCACACGTTTAATTATAAAATTACAATCATAGGCACTTTTGAAACCAGATCAGCCAGATTCTCATATTTTAAAAAACTTAATCTTAAAAGAACTAAATGTAATCTTAACAAAGTAACTGTAGCTTAATTATACTTATAAGAAAATTTGACCAGAGTCCGTTTCCCCGATAAAAAAATTCCCATATTCAATATTTGCAAATGAAACAGAAATTTCTGCCTATTTGTTTTTCAAAAAGCCAAAGTGAAAAAAAACTTAGTTCGAATATTTTATTTGAAAATTTGTTGTTTCTTACGAAGATGCGGAGGAGAAAGAACTAAATACAATCATTAAGAGCTTACAAATAATAGCTTAAAGTCCATACAAAAAATTGCTAAACCTGCATTTGATGTCAAAAGACCACTGATTTAAGCTAAAAAAAAACAAAAAAATTTATGATTTTATAGATCCTAACCGCCGCCCCTCAAATTAGGAGTCTCCTGTCCTTGCATCTACTTCTCTTGCTTGCAAGAAGGCAAACACTAGCCGCCAAAAAAGCAAAGAACAGGTGCTATCAAATTACCAATACTTAAGTAGCCAAACGCTAACAAATAAGCACTTTTAATTGGGACTTGAAATGGAAAAAAAATAAAATAACGTTCATAAATTTTTCAAGCACCTTTTTATGTAAGAAAGCACGAACGAAACGGGATTCTATATCATGAAAACTGTAATATCGCAAGCACGAAAGATCTAATTTCACGCATAAACAGACCCAAGCAAAACAAGGATAGCAGACTGCTGTCCAATTGGCACCGAAAATTCTGACCACATTCATCAAAAATTACAAAAAAAATCTTTACAAAAATTACAATTTTTTTTACCAAGTTCTTCAAATTAGTGTCGTTTATTGCGCGTGTTGTGAAGTCAAAACTGTACACACGCCTTGAAAAAGAGTAACTAATACACTACGATCGCAAGCTGGCTAGTGTAAATAAAGAAAAAGGCCTCAGTGACAAAAGTTGTCTTCAAAAAAAAATTACAAACCAAATAAAAAATAATCAAAAGAAAATTTTACTATTTTTTGTGCAGTAAGTTTCCAATTTTACTGCCATTAAAGACTAAATGAAGCTTCCAAAACCTAGTGTTTAGTAGAAAAAACAATTCTTTTAAGCCTAAATGACCAATTTAATGATCAGTATCACCGCTTTACTCGGTCGCTTTAATCGCTCGAAATCAGTCTAAAACTCAAAAACTTCGGTTTGTCTCAACACTGGGACAGCTTTTTGAATTTTCCAAAATTCGTTAGAAACACGACCAACAGGGCTTTAAAATGATATAACACTCGACAGATTCCGATCATTATTTGTCGTACCAGATTTTGCGTGGAAAACGATTTTCAATGGATTTCTCTCGATTTTCAATGGCCGGAAAAAAATGATTTGTTTTGCCTAAAACCAATTCAGAATCTCGCTTGCAGCAGTCACTACGCAATATTGTAAGATTTGACATAATACCTTAAGTCCATTGAGGATAATTTTTTCAAAAAAAATTTCAAAAAAAACAACGACGAGGACTTTTTCCTCCATTTCATTTCCACAATAAGAGCAAACTTCAAGCTTCGAGTAATGCTGAGTTCGTGAAGCGTGTCTTAAAAACCCAACACGTAACCACATCAAGCCATAAATACGCAATAATGTCGACACAGCAATTAATAGTTCGTCTTTGAATCGCAGTTGCTCGGTGCAGAGAAAAATCAGTTTTAATTTTTGGTCTAATTTTGAGAAAATGAAGCTTTTTATAGCGTCTTCTTGACAACAACAAAAAACATAGAAACAAACAAAAACAATCTGCAAAAGAATTTACAAAACAGGTTTGAATTGCTCGTTTTTCGATAGGCTTTTTGATTAAAAAAAGTGATGTCAAACTTGCGTATTTTACTTTTACTGATGAACATATTTGCTAGGTTTCCGGTCAGATCCGCTCAAACTCGGACGAACATAAAACATCACTTTAACAACAAAAAATACGTTTTTTAAAAAAAATTGCATGGTCGGAACTTTGAGGACCTCAGAGAAACTAAAAACAAAATTAACTTCGCCCACATAAAAAGCGCGGAAAATTTCCTCAAATTAGCTATAGAAGAATTCAAGTATGAAAGTCTCCGACATACAGCTAGAAATTCTAAAATGAAAGTCTCTGACATACAGCTAGAACGTAGCTAAAAGACAGTTGGAAATATAAAAATGAACTCAAGGACACCGAAAAAAAAATTGCCTTTACTTGAAAAAAATGCCTTCATTTTGAGCGTATATATTTTTGAAATTTAATTATAGTTTTACACCATTTTAACCAATAACACCTTAGACAACAGATTATTGAAAAAGTGTAAAAAGATTCAAGAAAACGGAAAATATAAAAGATAAAAACTCAAAAAGAAGCAAAAAATCACTCACCTTTAACAATTTTTTAGCCCTTTTAACTCCAAGAAGGGGTGATGACATTTATGATCACCTTTAGAGAAAACTCGAAGAATAGGTTTTTCCGCTGGGAATTCAAACAATTAAATCTATTCTCGAAACCTGAAGCCCTTTACGTTTCCCACGACCTTTACTTTTTTGCTGTTTGATGGTAAAGTTTACCTACCTTTTAAGAAAGGAAATGATCTGAATTTTAAGAGAAAGTCAAACAGGGAAGAGTCTAATTTCTAGCTTTTGACTGAAAAAATACTAAAAAACAATACGATCTATATGTAGAGGCGAAGCTGCACTTCGCAAACAAAACAGATAAACGGCAAAATAATGTTGGAAAACTAAAAGAAAAAAACAGGTTTAAAAAAAGAAAACTAAAAATTTTGCCTTCATCCGGAACCAAAACCACTGATATCGATTTTAAGAGTCTAACATTCTGGCAACTGCGCCATCGAAAATCAAACACTAGCCATTAAAATATTAGATACAACAGATACTAACTCAACAACAGTCGCTAAAAAGTGACATTCGACTAATAGCAACCAAAAGTGGTTCTTTACTGCAAGCTTCTAATGTCCTAGAACAAATTACATCAAATTCAATAAATCTTTTTGATCGAAAATGTTTGCATTTTGCACAAACATACATACCAGAGATAACGCTTCTAAACACCAAAATCTCCTAATATTGTACTACTCATTTAAAACTTTGACTTAAAAATCAAAAGTTCAAAAAAACCTTTCTCGCATACGCTATCAATTGTTTTTAAGCGCTGGGTTATATAAAAAAAAACTAACCACAATTAGTGACTGAAGTAGACTTAGGAAGAAAATTCACATTATAAAAATGAAAACAGAAAAGGACTTTTCTTGGAAAAAAAACAGATTCTAATTGACACGCGTTGGCTGAGTGAAAGAAGACAAAATAATGATCCAAAATGAATTTGACATGCGAACATTAACACAGAAAGCGGACTTTCTTGAAGAAAAAAACGTGGAATTCTGATAACACAAGAATGAAAACAGAACAAAAATCGAAGTTCAATTAAGCGCTTTCGCAATTTTATGTGCATTATCTGAAAGGGTTGTCATCATTGCAAACCCGTTCTCAAAAAACATAAACAACAGCACTATTATATGAAGATAAAACCTGGCGTTGGTTCAGTTCCGGTTGTCTTCTCGCGATATACCAACTTGGGTCACAAGCGTAGCTTTTGAAACAAGTTTGCATCTTTATATTATATCAAAAGCGTTTACTAAGTAAAAAGAAGCAAAATTGAATATTCAAAATGAATTTGACGCGCGAGATTTAATATAGAGGCAAAGATTTGCAAAAACAGATGCAAAAAACAGATGCCCTAGTTCAGGCGTGGAAAATTGATGGAAGAAAATTGCAACATATTTCATATTTTAAAAAATGTAAGTACTTAAATCGTGGGCACAATCCAGCCATACTCTTACACACTTATGGCTCGTAGGCATACAAAAGCTGCCATTAAAAGAATACTTTCACGGAGAATACATTCTACAAAGACAGCTTTATCTGATGAAATGAAGATGCGCTGAGCAGAGATGCGAAACTTGCAGATCTGTTCATGAGTTGCTCTATACTACTAAAAAATCAATGAGTCTACGAAACCTTGTTTTTAATATGTTCAATACAGCCTCTTATAGCAAAAAAATACATAAGAAAAAGTACAATTTAATAAGTATGAAAAAATACAGCCTTTAAAAAGAATTGGTTTCATAAAACTTTCTCAGTGGCTTTTTGATACAATCTATCTTATTTGAGTAATACTGATCATTTGTTATTGACTATTCCGTTGAGAACTACAAAATAAATTATCACTTATAATACTTAAAACCTTCAGAAAATCAATGGTTGCTCCATCGGCAGAAATTTAGTTAGAGATCAAAACTTAAAATGGGTCTTTCACAACTGAAACCACCAAAACAGACAGCTTAAAGTGAACAAACTTAGCTAATAGACATTTGGAAAAAAGTCAATGAACGCAAGCAAACAAAAAACCGACTTAATTTTTGAACTTTCAAATTTTAAAGAAAAAAAAAACTAGATGTCACTAAAGCTCTCTAAGTTTCTAGAACAATTCATGATTGACACTTTTTTAAATAATTAAACCCAATTAAAAAAATTCTGCATGAATAGGTAAAATTTTATGTTTAGCTGGAAACTTCAAAAATTAAATTCCATTTCGAAACTTTAAGTCGATCATGTTTTTCGTGATCTTTGCGCTATTGCTGTTCGATAGAGGAGTTTGCCTTCCGTTTAACGGAAATGAAATAAAATTAAAAAGAAATCAAAACCAACCCGGAAAACGTAAATTTGAGCCTGAACAAATTTTAAGATTTATCCTATATAAGACCTATATAAGAGTCTGCTCTACTTTCATCGACTCTCAATAACAATTTCATCTTTTTGTGCAAAACCATAGACGCTTTAAGACAATTTGAGAGCTGGGCTATGAAAATTCCGTATTAATAAAAAAAACGCTAGTTTTTGTGGCTTGAGTAATGGTAAAATCTTTCACAAGGTCCCGAAGTTCAAATCAAGCTCACTGACATCGATTCTTAGAGATTCAACGATTCTTGGAGATTTCTAATTTAGATATATATATATTTTTCAGCTTGACATGGGGCAAACTTGGACGCCACTTGGTGGTAAATTAACGACATTCTTCAACTTCAATAACGGCCACTATCTTTGAAATTAGAAAACATGAGAGAATAACATTAAACTATTTAGTCTATAAGATAATCATTTTGAATGACATACGCTGACAATAAAATTAAACAATGCTGCTCAAAAAAGTTTTCATCATTTGGCCAATTTGAATCGATTATGAATCACACTGACAAGGAATCAAATCGGAAGCCAAACATCTATTCTGCTATTTGATTCGCAGAGAGGTCTGATTAGGAGACAGATGACGCCATCAACCTTAGTCAGAATCGGATTCTAAACAAACCGAAGCATTTATAGTCATAGTACTCAAAACCATTGCCAACTGACGGTTAGAAAAGAGTAATGAATGCAAGAAAAAACGCAAAAAAAAACGGACTCGTTTTTCAAATAAAGTTCAACTTGTGCCGGTACAAAAATTATCTGCCGTTGAAGCTTTTAAATTTCACGAACAATTTATGTTTGACCCTTTTTTGATAACATAAACCAAATTTCAGAAAACTAGACCAATAAAAATATTTCGCTGGGAAATATGAAAACTAAATTCCACTTTCCAACTACACGGGGATCACGTTTTTCGTGGCTTTTACACTTTTGCTGATCGATAGTGAAGTTTGCTTCTATTTTAACAAAAGAAATGAAATGAAAAAAAAAATCAAAATCAAACCGCGAAAAATTATATTTGAGTCTAACAAATTTAGGCTTTTCCGAAAAAAAAACATCATCGCGACCTATATAAGACTCTGAACTACATTCATTACTCTTGATAAAATTTTTCAAATGGAAACAGATAATTGAAAACTTACCAATGATAGTTTTGGATTTTGAAGCCTGAAACAAAAAATAGTTTGAAAATTTTTATTTGGTCAAATGGATGCTAATAATTTTTACTAACTTCAGTTTCATCTTTGAAATCATTGAATAATTAGACTTGTTTCTTCAGCTCGTATACTGCATATACAGATTTTACTCGCAGCATTATATAAGTCATTTAATTTAAAACACTATCAACAGCTTGAGTTGACAAAACCATTAATCTAATTTAGCTCACCGAAGCCTTGTTGTCATCTCCTTCGGCGCCTGACTCAGAAGCGGCGTCACTGGCTGCTGTGGATGAATCAGAGGCCAGACGCATCCTTTTCTTAGATGGGCCCTCTCCTCCATCGCTGAAGCAGTTTCAGAAACTCGAATTTACTAGACAATTTTCGTAGCCTTCATTTAGAAATATTCGCACTTCACAACGCGAATAGAACAATATATACTAAAAAAATTTTAAACATCAGATAAAAATATTAAATAAATGCAGACCAACGAAGGATGACACGACATGTTTCAGATAAATACACGATCAACATAAATTTTGATGTTACGAGCTCCGTTGTACAACAAGTCCAAAATAGGAAAAGATACATCCTTTTTTCATCTGCCGACAAAAGCCATGACTTGCATGAGCTAAGCAGAATTTGAAAACAAAAATCCAAAAAAGTCAAGATCTCTATCACAAAAATTCATGCTGTTTTGAAATATCCTGAACAAGTACGACCCAATGAATGGAAGAACAGAGGCAAAGCAAAGTGGTTCTACAAGGTTCTAAAAGCGAAAAAAGGAAAGACAAGATAAAACTAACAAATAAACTTAGCCAACAGAAAGTGGGAAAAGAGTCAAAGGACGGAAGTAAAAAACTGACTTGGGTCTGAAAAAACTTCAACTTTCGAATTTGAACGCACGACCTTAAAAAGCTTTGAATTTGAGCAAAAAAATGTTTTTGACAATTCTAAACTGATTTGAGTAAAATGGATCACTAGGTAAAATGTTCATTTCGCTGGAAAATCTGTAAAATAAATTCCACTTTCGAAACTAGAAGTCGATCACAATTTTCGTGACCTTTTGTTCATTTTTGGTGTTGAATAGTGAAACTTTCCTTCCTTTTGACAAAAGACATGAACTGAACTTACAAAAAAATCAAACTGCAAAAAACTGAATTTGAGTCTTTTCCTAAAAAAAACATCGCGAACTCCTATATAAGAGTCTGAACTGCGTTCCTCGACTCTTAATCACAGTAAAACTTATTCTAGTAAATTCCACATTCCAAACCAGAAACTATGCACTTTTTTTCGCGCCATTTCCACGTATTTGGAGAGTGTTATTTACGTTACTTTCAGCAGATGAATTTCAATTGAACTCAGAAAGTGCATATATACCTAAGTGCATTCATAAATGCATCAATATGTGTGAATGCACATCTGTAGTTATTAGAGACTTTTATGCACAGCCATTTATAAGACTAAAAAAATAGCAAGACCTATAATTTTAACAAAAAATAGCAAGACCTATATAAGAGACTTCACTACCTTCATTACTCTTAACCACAACGGTATTTTTAACCTGATTTTGACTTGTTTTTGAAAAAAATCTTGTAGATAAATTTTTGTGAACCAATTTTTTTCGAGTTTTTTCTAAGTGAACCAAAGCCGCAATGAAATGGGGTTCTTCTGAACTTCGCCATTCGTATCTTCCATTTTGAGCTATAAGGTCTCTAGAAAATAGACTTCAAAAAACTATAAACCAAATAATGACTTATAGCCCGGCTTATAGCTTTTAACAAATTTATCGGACAACGTATTAAAGTTCTGAAATAATTCTGACCTTCAAATTTAAATTAAATCAAAATACTTATTTGAAGTTTCTCGTTTGCATTTTTGTCGGCATTTAATGTGGTTTTTTGCTCTGAAAATTGCATGGCAAATCAATATTGAATGATAAAATTTTTTGAATTGTGCTCTTGAATTAAGACAGAAAAATAAATTGCCTAAAAAAGCGCTATATTTATGCACTGCTCTTTTTTCAGTTCAAATTCAGTTTAAAATATCGATTGCAGTTTTAACGCCATCTCATTGTCTCAAGGTCAGAATTATTTCAAAAATTCAAGACAGTCAAAACACAGTCAATAAACAAAGAAACTGAAAAAAAAGTTTAACAAAACATTTTAATCTTTCATAGGAAAAACGAATTACGGTGAGACTCAGGAATCTTTCATGAATGACTTTTTCATTCAGCTGGGGAATCTATAAAAATGATTCCCATTTTTAGAATAAAAACAGACCATCGGACTTTGTTAGTCTATACACTAGAATCATTTACACTTTAACCAAATTTCAAACTTCCAAAAGAGACACATGAGCAAGAGTGGACGGCACATTTACAGATTGTTCATCTAATATAGCCAAAATAGACCACAACGAAATAATTTAGACATTTAAACAGATCTTTAAAAAAATGGAGGCGTAACTTCACTTTGCATAAACAGTCAAAAACCGACAGAAACTAGTTCTGTACTTTAATCAAACCGACATGGCTCAAGTAAACACATTTGCAATTCTCTGTCGTTTTGACACCTCTTTAAGTTGAAAAATCTAGGCAATACTTATAAATCAACTTACGCATTCGGAGAGGGACTTTTGGGAGCGTCTTTGGTTGGCTTTTCTTTGCTTTTGTCATCGCTATCATCACTTGAAGCATCACTGTCACTGATGAAAGCTTTACTCTTCACCTTCAGTCTCTGTAGAAAAAAAAATTTAATGAAGAGGATGAATATTCCCAAAGTGAGAATATCCTACAACATTTAATTTTTGAAGCAACTAATACAACTTAAGTTCAGCAACTGGAACCATTTCAGCAGTACCTTAGTCGTCGAATGTTAAGTATTGTGCTAAACTTGAAAGTCGGAAGCCCTCGCATCACAAACCCACTTGGGTCTGGAAATTTTTTATAATCAAATTTAAATGCATGTATTAGACAAAAATTACTGTTTTTAAGAGCTCCAAATGAAAAAAAAATCTTCATTTTTAATGCAAAAGTTGCAGTCTGTATTGCAGCTTTACCTGTTTAGCCGAAAGACCTGAATCTTCCGTGATGGCCTTGAAATGTCGTATTTTTTGCTTTTTTGGCATATTCTTCACCCTTTCCAGATATTTCTTCTTCTCCTCTTCTGTCCAGACCTCTGAGTCGTCTAAAAAGTCGTCCAAATCCTCCAACTCTTCCATGGTCTGTTTGCGACGTTGATTCTCTTTAGCCTCTGCCTTACGTCTCTCAATTCGCTGTTGACGTCGTCTAGCAGCTGCCTCTAGAGAAGGTCCGGCCTCGTCTCCGCTGCTATAGATATCTCCTGTGAGATTCTTCTTCCTAGATTTAGATTTCTTATTCGGTTCGTCCATAGGAACTTCGCCGATGTTCATCAGGTTTTTAGTTTTTTCTAGGATAGTTTGCCGTTTCTGAAGAAGTTCCTGCGCTTCTTGTTCACGCTTTAATCGTTTTTCTTCCTACAAATGAGCAGAAGTTAACTGGTGAAACCGCCTATCAACTTGGAAACGCACACAAAATTGGACAAAAAATTACCTCCTCCTTTTCTTGTTTCATCTTCAGTGCCAGTCTTTCCTTTTCCTGTTCTGCCATTAGCATCTTCAGCTGCTGGTCCTCCGCCGTTGCCCTCTTGATCTGGTATCCTGCCTGACTCAGAAGATCATCACACGCCTTGGCCTGATCCTTGGCGACTCTTAAGTCGAACTTCATCCTGTCACCGTGCTCACTCAGATGCAACAACTGCCTGCAAACAGTAACACACAATTTACTTGTTTTCACTTCTCGAACAACATTTTTTCACGCAAAAAAAGAACAACAAGCAAGATTTCTATCTCGTTTTCTGAGCACAGTTAATGTGTTCTGGATAAACTTACATTCAAGCGTTTTCGTTTACTATTTTCTAGGCTGGGAAATGCAGTCTCACAAAAGAGCAACGAGCACATATTATGATGAGAATGGAACAACCCAATCTTTACCTAGCAAGAAAACTTCAGCCACTTCATCACTGCTTCCCATTATTCATATCATTATTATAAAGTAACTTGGTCTAGCCCTGACGTTTACCAGCTCTGGGCTCTTTTCCAGTTTCCTCGTAGATTTTCAGAAATTCGATTAACGAAAGCCTAATTAAAATGACTTTTGATGTTCTAAACTGCAATTTCACGTGCAAGCGCGAACAAATTTTTACTAGGTTTCCTTAATGAAAAGGGGCGGGAAACTGGTAAAGAGCCCAGCTCTGACTTGATCTGAACTATTAACTAGCATGGCAACACATGGGGAAATCAAACTGCTAGGTTTCAAAAACTGGTTGAAAATGGCATTAACTTACTTCTTGGCCAAATGAAGCGAGTCCACTGCCTTAGTTACAGCTGCCAGATTAGATTTGCCATCCTTTAGAGTCTGAGTAGCAAGTTTGTTCATAACCAGAGAGAGGTTAAACAGTACCAGAGACTGGGTCGGATCTGCATGTCTCGCTCGGATGAGGACCTTCATTGCCTCTTCTAGCTTCTGTGCCTTCATAAAAGCTCTGCCCAAGTAAAGGAGAAGATCAACGTCATTCTGTTTGCCAAACTTCTCCATACACGACTCATACTAAAAGACAAGAAGCATGTTTCAGATCTTATGAGGCATGAACCAATACTAATTCATAAATAACAGCTAATGACAGCTCTCAGAACAACTATCTAGTTTAAACACAGAGGCGAAGCTGCACTTCGCAAACACTAGCGAGAAAACCTCAAAAAGCAGCTCTAAAAATAAGATTAAAAAGCCGTAAAAATTAAAAACGTTTCCTATGGCCGAATTGCTCCTACGACCAGGAGATTTAGAGTTCCCTTTCCTCGCATCCGCGCCACGCACTCTTGACAATTCACTAACACTGGCCACACAGAGCAGCTACAAATGAAAAATATGTATAAATTATGCAAGTTGAAAAAAATTGAAATAAATATTGCGTTGGAAAATTTCTGAATTCGAGTCTTTTTATTGAACTGTCGTTTGAAACATAGCTTTTCTCGTTTCAATTGAATTAAGATTGCATCAACTGTGTTAACTTATTACTAATCCAATGTCAAAGCCCATTCTAACAAAAAACTATAAAGACGCCACAAAAAATGGAAGCAATATTTCAGACTAAGGTTGGAAAAAAAGAATAGCCGTACTATTACACTACGCTCGCAAGTGTTGAATATGAGAGGTGATATCTAGATTGAAAAACTAAAAAAACGGAAAAAGACATCTGGAAAAATATACCGCGATGAGCAACAAATGTTTCCCGGCATTAAATTAAACATGGTCAACAAACAGCTGGAAAAGAGTCAATGAACGCAAGTGAACAGAAAAAAAAATAATTGATGGCCTGATAGCTCTTCAAATTTATAGAAAACTTATGATTGACACTTTTTTTGAAACCTGGATTGAAAGTTAACATTTTATTTCGCTGGGAAATCAGAAAAATAAATTCAATTTCGAAATTAGAAGTTGATCACGTTTTTCGTGACGTCTAGACTTTCGCTGCTCGATAGAAGAGTTTGCCTTTCTTTCAAAAACAGCAATAACTGATAACTGAAGAAATCAAAAGTCGAGCCGCGGAAAGCAAATTCGAGCCTGAAATTTAAAATACCCTGGCTTGTCGCAAGGGTAAAGACTTTTCCTGAAAAAAATCATCGTGACCTACATAAGAATCTGAACTACGCTCATCGACTCTTAAACACTCTCCAATCATAGACACAGAGGCAAAGCTGCGCACTAACAAGAACACGATACGAGAACACGATAAGAAAGCAGCTCTATAAAGTTAAATAAAAAAGTAGTAATAAGCCTAGAATTTCTTTAAAAAATTCTGCCACGGGACGGATTCGAAACTGCAACTTTAAGATTAAAAATCTCACTTCCTAACCTCTCAGCCACGGACGCTTAACAATCGGTAAATACTAGCCACAAATGAAGCAGACAGCAGGAGCTATGAAATTATCGTGACTACAGATCGTGATTATATCAAAAGTGCCACCGAATGAGCACTTTCATTTGCGAGTTTGGTAAGAAAAAAAGTAGGTTCATACTAATACACTAATCTCGCAAGCGCGATAGTGTAATCATTAAATTTGAAAAATGACACACCAGCCTTCGCTTACCATTTGTATTGCACTGAGATATTGCTTTTGTTCCACGTATATGTGTGCCAAATTGATCCAAACATCTATCATTTCAGTCGTGGCTTCCCTCACTTGGGAGAAAATGTCGCGCGCCTCTCTCAAATAACCCTTGTGTGCTAGCACACAACCTAAATACAGTACAAATCACGTGAATAAAAAGCCAAACCTGATCATTTCAGCCAATTCTCATTTTGATGCCAATTTGAGTTTACCATTTCTCATTTTGATTCCATAAACTCCGATCGTATAAATGGATCTACCAACTATTATATTTTGTGGGGAAAAAATTAGATGAATCAAAGGTTTCTGAAAATTAATCAAGTGCTCACATTTTAAATTTTTTCCTAAAAACAAAAAAAACCAACACGACGATTGTTCGTTGATGCTATAAAACTCACCACAGCCATTCGCAGCATAAAGATTCCTTTGGTCAAGCTTTAGCACTTGTCGATAGAAAGCCAACGCTCTTTCCTGGAACTTCGTTTCCTTAAATCATGCATTAATTTATTCGTTATCTCAATTTTGGACAAACTGCGTTAACATTAAACCTTTTTCTTTAAACTTCAATTCAATGAGAGTCGCACAGGTCGTTCATATGGACTCTTAAAACATTACACCCAAAGACTCAGAAGTCAAAAAGGTACAGTCCAAAAACGCACTTGTTACTCAATACAATCTAACAAACAATCGTCTAAATTGTGCTCAAGTTTTTCTACCTTTTCTTTGTCTCTGTTGGGCACGTGCAAAGTGTGCAGCCAGACATTTCCCAAAGCCACCAGACTGTAAGTATCGTTCTCCAGGCCAGGTGTCTGCAGAATACGCTCAAACTTCTTCTGTCCAGGGGCCGCTTCGTTCTTGCACAAGTGCAGGTTGCCAATCAACGCCCATATATCAGGACTGTTCTGGTTGACTTGAAGAGCTTCTTTGAACCAGTCGGAGGCCTCGTAAATCTGCTCTCTGTTTCTCGCCATACAACCGAGTCGCAGATAACCTACAAAAATCAATGTTTACTATCGCTGAGAACGGGGCTCGCTGTTCTTGAACCAAGATTACTGCCAGTGGAATCTTTCAAACTTAGCTTATTTGAAAATCTGACATCTTTGTGCTCTGATCAAATATCAACTTTGGCGACATACCAGCAATCAGGCTGATAATTGGGTTCATCCATGCATCCCAAAAAACTGAGGGTGAACAAAAGTGAGGCTTACAATCGATATAAGAAGGGTACTCTTTGATGATGGCCTTGTATATTTGCTCTGCCTCTGTTGTCAGGAATGAGGCCTCCTTGAGTCTGCCCAGATTGTAGTAGGTTGTGAGAGAGATGGCGTTGTAGTACTTCTCATCGTGCTCCTGCTCCGCCTTCGACCGCTCTAGTGCTGCCTCGAAGCCACTCTGCAATCAAATCAAGAGCTGCTGGTAAACAGAAAAAAAATGACTTCCTTTTCGAAAAAATCTCAAATTTCGACGAAAAAATAGATGGCTTCAAGGCTCTTTAAAACTCTAGAACAATTTACGATTGTCTTTTTTTGATAAAATTAACCCAAGTAAATTTTTATTTTGCTGAGAAATCTGAAAATTCAATTAGAAAATCTTCAACTATAAACCGATCAAATTTTCGTGACTTTTACACTTTCGCTTACAATAAAGGAAACAAAGGAAATGAACTGAACGTAAAAAAAAATCAAAAGTCAAACCGTAAAAAAAGTAAATTTGAGCCTACTGTTTCCAAAAACGTCTTGACCTATATATTAGTCTGAACTACGTTCATCGAATATATACCTCCTATTGAAACTTCTGGCTGAAATAACAAAAACATATTAAAAAAATTTAATCGTCACGAAAGAGTTTGGTCAACGCCAAAAAATTAGTGCTTTAATTTGTTTTCATTTTAGATCTTTTTGAGACTTGCGAGAACACGACCGAAAAGCAGCTCTATCAAGTTAAATACGGAAAAGTAGAAATAAGCCTCGAATTATCAAAAACTCGGCTACGTGTAGGATTCGAATCTGCGACCTTCTGCAGTCAAGAGATTTTGAGTCTCACGCACTATCCCTCAGCCACTCAAGCTTAACAACCGACAAACACTAGTCACGAATAAAGCAGCTACATATGCTAATAAATTGATTCAGCACCACATACAAATAGACTCAATTTTGCAATTAATAATTTGGAATATAACAAACTGAAGGCATCCACACTAACATTGCATGTAACAAATCGCAAAGCATAAAGCCACATTATGTATAAATTATGTATTTCAAAAAAATTGAGAGATATACTGAGTTTCTGAAATCGAGTTTTTAACATTAAGAAGTTGTTTGAAACAAATAAACTCAATTTTGCATGTAATGATTTCGAATATAACAAACTGAAGGCTGCCACATTAACTTTGCATTAACGAGTCGCAAAGCATAAAGTCACAATATGTATGAATTATGCATTTCAAAAAATTGCGAGATATACTGAGTTAGAAAATTTCTGAAATCGAGTTTTCATTATGTTCATGTTGTTTGAAACGAATAGCTTGTTTCGGTTCATTCGATGAATTAAAAATGCATAAAAAAACTGTGTTAATTTATTACTTTTCGAAAGTCAAAGCACAGGCTATCAAAAAGCTGTAAAGGCGCCCTACCATTATTGGGGTGCCGCACCAATATTTGCGACTTAGCTTGGAAAAAAGGAAGGTTTGTACCAATACACTAGCTTCGCAAAAGTAAATATGAATAGCTATTTCAAAATTATGATTCCATTCATGCGGAGCTAAACGTTTCTTAATTTAGGTCAATTACCATTAGCGTACTGAAATTTCAAATCATCAAGCTAGTTTTTCGCGTTTTCTTCATTTTCAGTCCAAAACATCATTTATTCAGTGACTGGCAAGTCATTCTTATTTGGCTGGCAAAATTTGTATAACCCATCCCATGATGGCTGTTTCTACCCAATTTAAATACAAATAACCCTTTTAAGACAAAAAAAAACATCTCCATTCACAAGAAAACATTACTTCTGCTTTGTTGAGGTTTCCCAGTCTAAACTGGAGGGCAGCCACGTTGTTCAGTATCTCCGGAGGGACATCTGCACCCAGCTGCTCTTTCAGAATTTTCATCACCTCCTCGTAGGCACTCAGAGCTCCCTGAAACAAGTTCATCGTGAGAAAACTTTGCGGGTCTTTCAACCTAAGCCATGTTTGTATTCACATTTGCAAGCATCAACAAAAAAAAACATATCTCACTTGTAGGTCATACTGTTCAAGTATCTGAGCGTACTCTATCCAGGCCTCTACGTCATCTGGGTGCTGGTCAGTGACCTGTTTCAACAACTGTTTCGCCCTGTCTCGCTTGACCAAGTCCTCCGAGGCCGCGTAGAGGGAACCCAAAATCTTCATTGTCTCATAGTTGCCAGCCTCACTCTTTAGAACTTTCTCAAAGCACACTGCCGCATTTTGCTTATCATTTCTGAAATCGCAATAATGATAATACCAGATAAAAACTTCTTCAAACCATTGAAATTTTTGAAGCGAACTTTAGAAGCTACAAGAAAACATAAAATTCGAAACCAAAAGCGCTCACTTTCCCATGGCTTTTACAGTTCAGAAAAAACGAAGACAAGTCGCAATCTGAACTAAAAAGGAGCGACCACAAACAAATAAGGTTAAGACAGCAAATTTAACGAAATTCATCTAGATTTTATGTGATTATTCGTCTGTTGACTTGGCTTTTAAAAAAACTGAAAAAGATAGAGCTAAGAAATGTTTCACCAACTTGAATATGTACATCTGTCCGAGTCCATAGTATGGTAATATGAACTGTGGGGAGGCGTACTGGGTAGCTTGGTAGTAGTACTGGAAGGCCTGGTCCAAATCGCCCTGCACGTGGAAAGATCTGGCCAACTGGTAACAACTCTCCGCTTGGAGGAACTCGTTTTCAGTGTTGTGGAAAGCATGAAGAGCCAAGTGTTGCACTTTGTCGAAGTCCTGAAATAAACTTGAAATTAAACCCTGGCAAATTTGTCAAATTCTACACTCATCCGTTTACAAAAGCATACGCCCTTCGCTCATAAACTAAATTCATTACAGCCATTACTCATATTAATCATTTTTGTAGTTTAACCTACAAAAAAAGACAAGCAAGGAGCATGATAAGCCAGAAGCCATCATTCAATCTACACTGTACAAAATTTGTCATATCCGAGCAGAAAAATTTCCTTGCCTACAGCCAACTGTTGTGCCGATTCGTAAGTTTGCACAAAGCAATAAAAATCATAAATTTGTTTTAAAAAAGGGAACAATTTGTTTGTAATTTATAAAATGTATCCGAAAAAATCCCAAAAGAACGTCAAATTGACCAGTTAGCTTCTTATCGAGTTTGAGTATTCAGTTGAGCGATAAGTTAACTACAATATCACATATCTTTTCTAAGGTCAATAATAATTAATCATACTGATAAGTCTGTGAAACAGCATTTATTTGGATCCCGAGTTTTGAAAAATAAGCCTTTTTTCTTTTCTCATTTTTTGCGATTATAGGTTTGGCTACTCTTACAAGCGAACTACTTGGCTACAAGAATTGGTAAAAGGCACCAGCTTTTTTCAAAGAATAGCACCGATTTCTTTTTTCATGTCTACCTTTTTTTATTTTGGCTGAAAAAATACCCTTGATTTGAAAAAAGAAAATCGGTGATATTGTTTGAAAAAAGCTGGTGATTCAGCCAAAATAAAAAAGTTAGTCTCATATAGACGATAATTTATGTCTATCATCTCGAACAAACAAACTGTCAAAATATGAAGAGAGCTACTGACGCAAACAAATCATAAAAATGAAAGCGCGAAAAAACGAAAAACTTGCCAAAAATTGAAGTAAACGTTACGTTTTTGAGCACACTTAGTTATGAAAAGCAGCGGGCTCATTCAAAAATTACAAAATTAAAATCTACGTAACTTCAACTTCAGCATTAAAATTAGTCATAGTTAAAGCAACCTCTCGCATTAGTACAAAGCAAAAGAAGCACAAAATGATCGGATTGACTATTGTTTATCAAGCTCTACTCGTCTCATCATTTGTACTCCTAACATGCTGCTTTTTGTCACTCCAGGAAGAGCAAGCTTTCATTACATCGATCCTAAACCAAACCACCAAAAACACGCCTCATACCAACATGACGAACAACACTGTCTTTCTCTACTTTGATCTCTACCAACTTCTCGGAATTGACGAAAAAGAAGGAACAGTAAATATCAAGGTGTGGCTCTATACATTTTATTATTTACCTCATTTAGCCTGGGATCCCACTATGAATAACATATATATGATTCAACTGCCTCCTAGGAGTGTATGGACTCCTGATTTGGTTCCATTTGATGCCACAGAAGTAATTTACGATGGATATTCAGAGCAGGTGATAGTGTACAATGGTTTGATCGTTCCCAGGAGCAGTACAGCCAATGTTAAGATGACATGCAGCATCCAAGTCAAGTACTTTCCCTTCGATTCTCAGGTGAAGAAAAAAAACAGATAAACTGCAACCGATATTCCGGCAGACCAAAATAAACATATAAGCATAATGATGAAATAATTTATCGTACAATGAAGAGAAATATTCACTCTTCGCAAAATTTGAGTTTAAATATTTAGTCATTTTTTACGAGTTTTTTCTTAGAATCACGATGAGTCTTATACACCCTACGCCATACTTCTTTACTTCGCACTTCGAACCCATTCAACTTTTCTTCTCACTTATTTCTGACTCGTCGCACCGGCTGCTGCTAAATAATGGACAAAATTTTGGGTTGTTATTTTAAGTTTCCAAGTTCTATCAACGCCTCAATCAACCATATACACGGACGAAATGGCCATATTTTGATTGATTTTCAAATGCATCAACATTTTGCGCTCTATGTTTCAGGAATGCCACTTCATGATCGGGCAGTGGGCAAACACCCACTCTGCATTCAGATTGGGAAGAGACCCTATAGTCAATCACCCCACAAAAATTGACCTGTATAACTTCCATCAAAGCGGTCAATGGCACCTAGTTGAACCAGTCAACTATTCAATAGGCAACCGAACTTTCCGAAACTTCACTGAATTCTGGAACTACGATTGTTACGAGTATGTTATGATTTTCAACCGAGTGCCCACATTTTACGTCACTGTCATTCTGATTCCTGCAATCATGATGGGAGCTATGTCAATCCTGGCGCTGATTCTTCCAGTCGAGTCTGGAGAGAAAATATCACTCGCGGTCACGATCCTTCTAGCTCAAGTTGTGGAGCTGTTGGTTCTGTCTGACATTCTGCCTCCCAGCACCGAAGAAGACTTTCCGATCGCGGGATCCTTCGTAGTCTTCTTAATAATTCTAGCTTCGATTTCGCTCCTTGTTACGGTTATATCGTCGACTATTTATTATACACCTCCGTGCAAAAGAGTTCCAAGATGTATCATTATGGTTATTAGTAGCAGAGTAATGGATATATTTTTCATTGCCAAACTGAAGTTGCCAAAAAAGGTAACAAAAAAGATCGATAAGGTGGCACCACAGTCCAACGACAACGAGAAAACCAAGCGAGAAGCATTTGTCAAAGAACACAAAGAGCCTGAACCATATCCAGATGATCAAGAAATCAACTCGGTCGGATGGAAAATGTTCGCAGCCCTGATCGATCGAATATTTCTCATTTGTTATACGACTGCTTTAATATCAGGAGCTATATACTTTTACAACAGAGCACAGTCTGGAGATTGAAGACAATCTCTTCGACTCTTGAGCAGAAAACAGTGAATTGTAAACTATCTGCTAACCTTGACTCCCAGCAACAACTTGGAATTTTATCAATTCTTCAGGCTAACCAAAGATTTAGGTAGAAATTAACCAAATAACTAAAATTGGTTTCCCAATACAGCCGAGTTCTTTCATTTTTGCTTTGCGTAACGACATGCGTAATAAAATTCAACTATTTCTTTGAAGTCAGCACCAGTTTTGAAATATTGATCTATCACAAAACGCTCCACAAAAAACTATAGCTGGTCTTTTGGACAGCCGAAAAAGAACTACGAGCAAATCAGGGCCTTCTGGGAAAAAAACAAACAACCCAGAAAAGCTTTGTTTTGTGGTATTTCAAAACAAAAAATTCAATTTCAGACGGCGCCTTGAAGCAGACTCGTCTATAAATAAGTGCTTCTTATGATTTTTGTACTTGCTTTTTTGAAGAAGAAATGGTCGGCCAGGTGATTAAGCACCATGGGGTTAGAAGAGTCTATTTGGTATGCTTTCGAGAGGAGCTGTACACCCGTTCTCGTGGATTCCAGTGACTTCTCATTCAGTTCCATGATGGCCATACCAACCAGAGCTCCCACACAGGTGGGCTTCACTTCCAGTGCTCGCTCGAAAGACTCCTTCGCTTTCTCCGGTTTGGACAATTTGAGATAGCACAGACCAATGCCAAGACGAACTTCAGCTATGAATAATCGCAAGGGTAAAAAAGAAACAAACTATTGAATACGATTTGTAGCGGCGGGGGATTTCCGACGAAGCTTAAATTATTCCAAATCTGCCTTGATATAAAAAAACAATACGCAATGTTTTACCTGGACATTTAGGATGAGATTTCAGCACTTTCTTGTAGCATGCCAAAGCGCCTTTGTAGTCTTTCTTGTTGAACATGATGCATGCCTTTCCTATTAAAAAATCAACCCTTAACCTCGAAAAGCATAATAAACACATATAAATCGCATTAGAGATAACTGCAAAACGTTTCAACCTTCCATCTTTAATACAGAATATTAGTTGAATACATTGAAGCCATAATAAAGAACTTTAATAAAAGTTTACCAAGAGATGCTGGGACATTTTGCGGGTCAGCTCCTAAGACGAAATTGAATTGTGCGTCTGCCTGATCTGTTTTGTCGCCCTCTATCAGACAAAAATTAGCCCTGCCCAGCAAATGGTTCTAAATAAGAACAAGGATAGCTGGTTGCTGTGCAAGTAGCATAGAATGTACCAACCATACTCATAACAAAAAAAAAAAGTTTTTTTTTTTAAGTTTTCTTCAAATTAGTATCATTTCTTAGATGAAATCAGGTACTAAAAATAATCTACGGAATGGGTCGAGGGATAAATCATGTTAAAACCCTTTCAGTTTTAATTCGAACGACATTTGAGAAGTATCGAAAAAATGTCCGAGTGTAAAGAAAAAAATATTTGAAACTTTGGTGTTTTAGTCTAATTTTGAGCAAGTAACGCGATCGAGGAACGCCCGTTGTATGGAAATTTACTTCCTTGGACTTTCAGGCTTAAAAACTTAATTTTATTTTTAAAAAAAACTACTTTTTGATGTTTAATTTACCACTTAATTGGCAAAAAATGCTCTCCAAAAAATTTTAAAATATTGTGCAAAAAATTAGAACTTTCAAAAAATTAGAAAAATTAGAACTACGTTCATTACTCATAATTGCTGAGCCGAGCCATAATGAAGGGAACTGATTTATCGGAGCTATTTGAGAGCACTTACAAGATCATACATGATGATTTTGTCAGCAACTGTGTATAGGTATGTCGCCTGCTTGTACAGTCTTTTCTTTTCCTCTTTGTCTTTTTCTTTTCTCGCCTGAAAAAAAAATAGATTAACTTCAAATTAACTAGAATTTTTTGATACACGAATTTTGGACCTCCAACAACAGACAGCATAGCAAAAATGGGCGATTCGGTGCTCGTCTCAAAACTCTCACATGCTAAATCAAGGGTTGACATAGACCAGATAAACTGATCTCGCTGTCTACCCTTTCCAAAGGTTTTCTAAACGCATTGATTTCTAATGTCATTTATTTTCTTGAATAAATCAATTCTTTTTCCTCTTTATAGAGGTCCATTTTATAGAGGAAGCATTCGTTTCTATGTTCCATTGGAAGATTTCAGATGGTGATTGCTGAAAATATCCTTATCTTAGAAAACAGTTGACAATTTATTGTTTCCAGCAGGGGCGGATCTAGGAGTTTCTCAAAGGCGGGCAAAGGGGGGGGGGGGGGGGGGGTTGGATTTGCAATTTGATTTTCCGAGCTCTCCCAAATCACTACAAAGACCCAATTTTGACCAAATTTTCTACGCCGCAGGCGAATTTCTAAATAATAATAAAAAACATTTTTAGCCACTGTTTGACAAAAACCGCGTTTTCGGCGCGTTCTTTCTCCGCAACATTATTATTTACTGACGCCAAAGGCGCATTTTGAAAAACTTTAGGTTCATTCAGCAAAAAATGGAGGTCTCGAAAGAGTACCAAATGGAGTACTCCTTCCCACAACCCCCACCTTCGCCGCCGTCTCTAAATCCGCTTATGGTTTCCAGCCACTTATTGAGATAGAATGTTCGAGCGCCAATTACAAAAAAAAATCATTTTAGTATTTTAAACGATGCTCAAAAGTCGTGAGGCAGAAACTCTGTTGGAGAAACTTGACAATGCATGTCACGACTGAAATACTAACTATTTTTCGCATTTGAAACATCAATATAGACCAAGTGGCACTTAAAACGCGTTTAATTATCAAGCCATTGAAAAAAAACAAACGTTGACGCAGCTTACAAATAGATTCTAATTCAACGCAGAATGGTACGATACGTCAAGACTCACTCCTCCCACATATATGTTCATTACTCGAGTTTTCCTGTTATTTTCCTTCATGCATCCTGTGTACAGAAAATGAAATGAGCTGCTTGTATAGTCAACATGTAGGCTGTTAGAGTCTTCGTTTAAAATTACGGAATAAGTTGCTAGAATATCGACTTTTTACTGGATGCAATAACTCAGCTGTGGATGCTCAAATAGGGAGTCTTTTAATTATGTACCAAATTTATCGTCAACGACCTTTTAAAAAACATAGCTAAGAATTGGGAGGATTTTGCACCAAATTCACAACTAAACATTTATATCCCATTTGAGTATGCATGAATCACTTTCGTCATTTTGATCCAACAGCGTCCGGTTCACATACCATCATCTTTTCCATCTCCAAAACCGACAGAGCTTTAGAGCTTCTAATGTATCTGCTGAGACTTCAGCGACCAATTTACTACCAATATTTTATTAATCCAGCACTAAGCCACAGTAAATGTTTCTTTGCACAAGTCATGTGCACTATTGAAATTGATATGGTGTAATAAATTTGGCGTAACATTGAAAACCGTCCACGTGTAAAGTACTTGACTGTTTCGAAGGTTATCTTACCTTTTGGACGTAGTAAGCGGCCAAGGTGTCGTAGGTGACCATCTGGTCCTTGTCCGATCCAGGGTACTCGGTGAAGGCCTCATTTCTCGCAGTCTCCAGAATCTTCACGAAGTCCTCGCTCTTACCCTGTCTATAGTATTGGATCTACAAGCAAAAACTAATGAACAAGAAAACATAACAGCTTAAAAAACAGACAAAAACAACATGGTTAATTTAAACTAACCAAGTGGTTACCCGTTAAACGTTTCGGCACTTGTACACTTACATGAAGAGTATAAATGGTTTTAAGTAAAGTTCAAGCCCATGATAATTACCAAGAATAAGCTATCTACAATGAAAAAAATGTAAAAACTTTTGCGATTACAGCTGAAACTCATACTTTGCATTGCTTTCCCAGCAAAGGGTATTCAATCAATTCTCTCATAAATAAGAGCAGAATCTTCTCTTTTAAAATGATTTGATTTTAATCAGCTCGCTATTTTTTTTTTCAGCTCCAATTTCATAAGCCATAATCAAACACTGGAGCTGAATATTTTCCAGCATGATTTCTCTTTACTCACAGCTAGTGTGTTCCATATATGCGCAGCTGCCAATTCTTGCTTCAGAATACTGATCACCTCCTCGCTCTCGGGTAACTGGTCGAAGCTCAGTTCGATCACCTGGGAGGAACACAGTCAATACTCTTTCCTCTACATTGACATCAACACTTTATTAAAATAAACACATTACAAAAATGGCTGTAATATTTCTTTAGTAGTATTTTCTCCTTAGACTCTCAAAACGTTATTTGCACAGCTCCCAGTAGTACAAACTAAAGAATCAAATATGCGATGGTATTAAAAATATTACAGAGGCGAAGCTGCGCTTCGCGAACACTAGTGAGAAAACGACAAAAAACCAGATTTAAAAAAAACTCAATTTGAGAAAACTGGATCAAAAGATAAATTTTTTAATTCCGCTGGGAAATCTGAACATTAGAATCCACTTTCGAAACTAGAAGTCAATCACATTTTACACTTTTGCTGTTCGATAGTGGAGTTTGCCTTCCTTTTAACAATGGAAAAGAACTGAACTTGAAAAACAAAACCTAGACTCTAACGCGAAAACTTAAAACTGAGCGTTAACTATTTTAAAAACAAAAATAAAAAAACGAAAATCACCAAGACCTTCATAAGAGCCTTCACTACGTTCATTACTCTGAGATGATTTTCGCGGTGATAATCATTCTTGAGATGAATTTTCGAAAACGGGGACAAATTTTTGAAAACGGAACACAAAGATCAATCATTGTTGAGAAAGTTAACCTGAAAACAATGTTTTGCAATGGTTTAAAGTAAAAATAATCTCTCTAAAATTCAATTAGATGACATTCCTGCCGTATAAAAATGACCAGGATAAAAGAGAAAGGAAACAATCGCATGAAATAATCGTACAAAACTCACTCATATTGATAAAACTGATAGCTCTCAATACTGAACAGCAAGAACTCTAAATTATAGCAGCAAAACTTGAAATTTCGTGCAAGGATATACTACAAGGAGTAAAAAAAGATTAGCCGGTTACTATGCAAGTCAGAAGACTACAATCATAAAAAACACTTGTTCTTTTCAAATTTTTACCGTTTCTTGTGCATGGTGCCATGAGACGAAAGCTAAGAAAGTTAGTAAATTAACCATTATCACTTAATCGACGACCGTTGTCTTCGAAATCAAACATATCCAATAGACAATTGCAAAAGAGTCAATGAACCCAAGTAAAAAGAAAAATTATACTGATTTGTTTTTTTTTTAAATCTCAACTTTTAAATTTCCGTGAAAACAATAGATGACCCCTAAGCTCTTTGAACTTTTAGACCATTTTGTGATTGACACTTTTTTGATAAAATCGACCTAATTTGAGAAAACTGAATCAATAGCTAAACTTTTATTTCACTGGGAAATCTGATAATAAATTGCTTTCGAAATTAGAAGTCAATCACGCTTTCGTGACTTTTATATTTTCGCTGCTCGATTGTGGAATTTGCCTTTATTCTAACAAAGGAAATGAACTAAGCTTATAAAAAATCAAAATTCAAGCCGTGAAAAGTAAATTTGAGCCTGCACAAATTTTAAGACATTTCATGAAAAAATTAGACAAAAAATACCGCCTATATAAGAGTCTGAACTACTTTAATCGATTCTTAATAACAAAGCAAACAAAACAATAGAAAATTAACAGAGAATCGAAGCATAGCTTTGTGCCACTTGCGATTAGTACCATAGCACGGCAGCTAGCCGAAAGAACATGGGACAAAGCCACATGAGTTTTTTTTTAAATGGAACAATTTTTTTTATATTTGCCTCGAATGCTGTTTAATTTGAGAAAAGGATGCCGAGAACCGCCAATGTCAAGTAGTTATTGCAACAAAGTTTACCCAGAGGCGAACACAACACAAAGCAGCTCTGAAAAATGCAATGATGAAAATTAGAAACAAGCCTCAAAGTAGTAACATACGACCTAGTTATTAAGAGTCTCAAACACTAACCACTCAGCCGCGAAAGCTTAATAGGCGCCAAACACTAGACACAAATAAAGCAGAGAACAGATGCTATGCAATTTCCAATTCTTCAGTGAAATTTCCAAATTAGTGAACAATTTTCATGAACACCTTTAATTTGTGAATTAGCGAAAACAAAAAAGTTTAGTATTGAAATTGTACTCTTTCAAACGAATCATAATTAATCATTATCTAAGCATTAAAATCTACATGCTCTACATATACGAGCTCTACATATACCATTTGGCCACACATTCAATCAGAAAAGATATGATAACTTCTAGCCCTAGCCCCATGACTCAAGTTATTTTGTTAAACTAATTGCTAGTCTGAAAGAAGTCTATATTCCGATTTGCTAACGCTTGTAAATCGCGATAAAAAACTGATTTGATTGGCATGCAATAGCTTAATCAAGTTTCGAAAACTTGTTTTCCTGAAGTAAAACTAAATGTTTCACGTTTTTTTTAAAAGTTTTTTCTATCATTACACCTACTTGCTCAGTTCAATAGAAATTGCAAAACCTTTTTTTTGACACTGAAAAACCAAAAGTTTGACTCACAACTTAACGGGCTTTAGATAGATATACTATCCCACTCATTTTGATAATTGTTTGTACCTAAATTTGTATCGGAAAAAGTCACAAAAACAAACCCAAAAACCAAGTTCCTCCAAATTTTTTTGGTTGAAACAACAGCCCCTTCTCTAAAAATTCCAAAGACTCAATTGATAATATGTATCACGGCAAAGAAATCAAGCCTGAAAAACTAAAATGGACAGCCAAATACTTTCGAAAAACTTAAATGATAATGTTTTCAATAACTTATGCACCAGCTAAGGGTTCTCGTAACATACTAGGATTTTCTTTCTAAACCCTTGCGAGAACACGACCAAAAAGCAGCTCTATCAAGTGAAATAAGAAAGAAAGTAGAAATAATCATCGAATTAAGAAAAACTCGGCTACGTGTAGGATTCGAATCTGCGACCTTCTGCAATCAAGAGATTTTGAGTCTCACGCAAAATCCACTCAGCCACGCAAGCTTAACAACTGAAAAACACTAGTCACGAATAAAGCAGCTACAAAAGCTAATAACTTGCAAATGCCATTCAACAAAATGGGCACCAAAGACAAATAGACTCAATTTTGCATGTAATGATTTGGAATATAACAAACTAAAGGCTGCCACATTAAATTTGCAAGTAACGAGTCGCAAAGCATAAAGTCACAATATGTATGAATTATGTATTTCAAAAAATTGCGAGATATACTGAGTTAGAAAATTTCTGAAATCGAGTTTTCATTATGTTCAAGTTGTTTGAAACGAATAGTTTTTTTCGGTTCATTTGATGAATTAAAAATGCATCAAATGAGTTAATTTATTACTATTCGAATGTCAAAGCACTTGCTATCAAAAACCTGTAAAGGTGCTTCACCATTATTGGGGTGCAGCACCAATATTTGCGACTTAGGTTGGAAAAAATGAGGTTCGTACTAATACACTCGCTTCCCAAGTGTAAAGAGAAGGCCAATGTGGTTACAAGGCGGTTAAAAAATAGAGAGGCATACGATAATCCTAAATTAACTTTTTTCCTCTGAACCTAATCGCCCAAGCTTGCACTCGGCCTTCACTTTTGCCCCTATTACCGCAGTTTCAATAACTTAAAAATATTACCAATTACTCCAACTTATTTCGACTACTTCACGAATTCAGTGGGAAAGAAGTATCACGCAAGGTAGGTTTTCTCACACAACAATAGGTACTATTGAAACACCAAGGGATCGAAAGCTATATCATACTGCATCTTTCAGTTGTGGTTCAGATTCCAAAAAAAATTCAAACGTTTTCTCAGAGCCTAAAAATTGGTCAGATTAATTCCATTATAGGAACTGGTATACGACAGGATAGAGAATTCTGATTCAATTACTTTTTTATAGGTCTGGTATGTGTTTAGCTGAACTTTGAAATCCTCTCCCGTTATCGAGAAAACCGGTAGTAAAGCATTCGAAAAAAAAATTAATTTTTCAGTTCCCTAGCAAAACTTTTTGTGGTCCGATCATTCAAATTTACTAATGATTTAAATACATTTTTTGTTCCGACCAATTCAGTAGGATTGGAAGCAACGACGGAGTAAGGAGTGCTTTTTCCATCCAGAATCAGAAAAACCTTTTCGGATTCCGAACACTCAAAAAATGTTGTTTGAAAGTGTTGAGAAAAAAACCTGAACTTTCTGTCAGGGCTCTTTTTCCTTTTTCTTAACTGCCAACTTTTCTCATTAAAATTACTAATCACATTGTCCAATTGTCATGAAAATTGACATGCATACTAATTAGGCCATGCCAATCATATTTGGTCTTCATAATCAACCTTGTAAAACCACTGATTAGACCATAAAATTGATGCTCGTGTGACGTGGGGAGCCTCTGTCAGTCTCTGATTTAGCTTAGTGCGGATGAACTGAAGCTATTACACTAACTTTTTATATTGTACAATACATACGCGTTTTTAAATCAATTTTTTAATAAACTTTTTCGAAATAGAACATTGATCAGAACATTCTGAGCAAAATCCTCAACAATCTACTGCCCTTGTTGTTCCTACCACTAGAGAAGAGAGGAAATGAATATGGACTAGGATACAATTTTTAAACTATTTTCAAGCTATTTAGGCTGCCTCGATTAAAGCTTGTAGGGCGTCAAGTGTGGTATCATATTAAAGCACTTTTGGTCGTGATTTGCATACTCAATTTTAAACGGTAAATTTTAACTATGGTTTCTCCTATTTCTTGCGTTTTTCAACTAATTTAACTCAATTTTCAAGAAAAAAAATCAGCAAGAAATTAAAACACAAAATTGCAAAAAAAATTTTTTTTTTAATTTCTTTATTTTTGAACTCATTTTCTTTAAATATTTTGATAGGAACATTCTGTACATCCTGCACAGCAAGCAACAGATGACCCTTCTCTATTTCATATAACAAATCAGCCGATTTAATACCGCTTGCCTATCGCAACATTTCTTAAATTGATATTTCGTGAAAATGGTCAAGGAGTTTGTCCTAGAAATGAAGAGAGACTAAGGTCTACAAGCTTTCTCTTGATTTAAATCTTAGTCTCTTTTTTCGATTTTGAGAAAGTTGTTGGAATATCTTTCTGGGCCTAAATATTATACATACTTCCTCTGAGCTTTTTCAAATTCCTAGAATTTCGTAAAAATCTCCACCCTAAACCATAGTTGCTTCTTACAACAAAGAATGTGACCAAAAACAAAATCATTATTCCGTTCGACAGTTTAAACAACTTTTGACTCACCTCGTCAGTATCCTTGAGAGGAATTTCAATGCTATTTCGTTCCACTTCCATCATATTGGTAGCACAACATTAAACTCTTCCTCTCAAATTAAGAACAGTAGAACATTCAGTTCTAAAACACTAAAATGATTAAACGACTGTGGTTTCTGAAAAAGATGTGACATATTTCTGCAATTTCACTCTTAAAAAAGAAGACAAGAATATATCATTTTGCATTCCATAAAATTTGTCCCATTTACTCCTACCTTCAATTCATCAAACATAATTCGCTCTCTACAAAACATAACATTTAAGGGTTATATTTTGAAGCCATTTAAAATAGAGCTTCGAATTGCAGTAAAACCGTTCGTTGGTATGGCCAAATTATAACTTCAAAGCTCTATGTAAAACTGTTGGAAAGTAACATCAGTCAATAGCACAATAGGGTGTTTAGAATCAATAACAGTTTAAATCAGGGTTACAAAAAAGGGTCAGATTAACAAGTCTCAAAAACTTAATCTAATAATTCTCGTTAAAGAGATTTGCCAAACACTCTTGAACAAAAAGTCTTCTCAGTTCAAGAGATCAAAAACTGCATGCGACAAATTAGTTAAACTGACCGACAAAAAAGCTCAATAAATAATTTTTTTGTAGATAGCTCAAATTACAACTACATAACACTTCAAAAAAGTTACGATTCAACGACACAAAAATAGCCCTGTATTGTTGACAATTATGTTCGCCCATTACACTGTGTCCATGCATAACTAAATTTTCAACGGAAGGGTAAATTTAAACGGCATTTAAATGATTAAATATTATTCAAATTATATCAGGGGCTGTATTAACCAGTATACATTTCAGACTTATGAAATAATCAATGAAGAGCCGCTATCATATCATAGATGTAATTTATGCTACTTCACTAGAACAGCCAATCAGATTTCAGATGCTACCTTCTCAAAACTCTTCTCAACTTTTTTCTGATTGAGTGCGCTGCGACCTGCCGATTTTAATTCAACGACATCGTTATACAATTAAAAAACACGCTTAAAATCTGACAATAGTATATGGTGTAAATAACATCAGCAAGTTTTCAAAATACATGTCCAACTGTATTTCTAATCTCTATGCCCGCCTATGTTAATTTCGGTAAATTTCATTCATCCGACGGAGCTTTGTATGGCAGATTATCGAAGTCGATTTTCTCCCCTGTCATCGCTTCGTAGATTCTCACTATGTCGAGACTGGTCGTCTCGAAATGAGTAGTCGGATCGTAGCTTGTGCTCACGAATATTTGGTCATCCTGTCCGTTTCCAATTGGCTCGTAGAAGTTATCTAATGAGTAGAAAGTATCGATCGCTGGTCCGAGGATATCCACTCCTGGTCGCACTTCGTCTTTCCAGTTCCCGTTGGGTCCCGACTCACACATTGTTGCTACAATCGCCAGGTAGTATCCCTTTGGAGCTACCTCGTTGGTCCAGCCAACGGAACACACGTAGATATCGGAGTTTCGGTTACACTGGTTGTTTGGAATGATTATCTGACATGATTCAGGCGGGTTTCTTGAGTTGCTCACGCAAGCTGGTGTATGGTCCATAATAACTATGGCCCTAACAACCTGATAAACCTGTCTTACCTTGTCGGGTACGTAAGATGGATCACAAGCACATTGGCTGGCTCGAGCAATCTTTCCATCAACAACTACTCCGGCAAACTTTCCGTCCTTCATAAGAATCTTTTCCAGTGCTGCTCTAAGCATGTAAGTCCCTCCGTACCTGGCTGACAATCTGGCAAATCCCTGTGGCAGCTCTCCAAGGCCATACATTGGATATAGATAGGGACTCTTTCCATACTGCATCAGTGAGTCCAGGTACAGCTTCATTTTCTTTACAGTAAGGCCATATGGCTCATCCAAGTAACTATTATCGGTGTGCAGAGCAATCGAATGGCCTACAAAGTCAACTGTGCTGTCTGCGAGGGAATATTTTGCCATCAATTCCTTCATAGTAACTTGACCAGGGTGGCCCTGGAATGTAGCAGGGTCTTCGGAGTCAAACTTGTCTACAAAGATGAGAAAGTTCTTAAACCTACGTTTCTCCAGTAACCCCAGAAGATCGGATGTCAATGCTTCCTTTTCATTTGCCGGCACCTTCGAGACTCTGAAACTTGCTTTTTCGCTTTTACAAACGTAACTGCCTTCAATTTGCTTGAACTCAACGTAACGGTGTACGTCTGTGTAAATCAGCACTTTGATCAACTGAAACGCACAATCAAAATTCAACAAGCAGTCAAATGAAGCAAACTTATTTGAAGTCTAAACACAAAAATAACCTTTCCCGTGGCCATCAAAATTTTGGGAATCAAATCAATGCACCAGTCTTTCTCTCGGCCGTAGTTGTAAGCTAGAGATCCGTCGCCTCTGTGTTTGACATAAAGGTCTTTCAAGGTGACCGACGTGGTATCACCGCCATAGAAATCGTTTTTATCAAGGTGCAGTACCTAAACATAGGCGATCATGGATGAAAAGCAGTTAATAAAACCTATTCACAAAAGGTTCTATTTTTGTCAATCAGTTCGATTATCAATCCGCTCGATTCTTAGCTACCAAAGGCTCGCGGTAGCCGGGTCATTAAATAACATTAAATCTGATCCAGGAACGTGCCTAGGTTCCAAAATGATACATCAGTCTTATAATCCTTAAAAAAGCAATCGCATAAGTCTCAAATCTTTTCAACTGGTTAAAGACTACTTTGTTAAAGCAATTAGGTTTTGTGTCATGAGCTCATCTAGGTCCTTACAATTGTTGTAAAAAAAATCAGACCTTCCTCTTTGATCTTGACAGAAGTCCAGATACAACGCATTCCTTCAATCCGGTACCCAGGCAAATGCAGTCGAATTTCACCTCCTCGCCTGTTCCAGGATCGGTATCTAGAGGTGGCAATGAATCGTGGAGTTCGGGTGAATATTCCTCGTAGACAGCCATTACAGATCTATAAAAATATATAATTCAAATAGCAGACATCTCTAAAACTATTTTCTATGGTTTTCTACGCTTTCGCGTGCCTGATAACGGTATTGTGTCGGATCAAGCTGTGCATAGCATTCAATTAAAACTATTGAGATCTGAGTTACAGGGCTTCCACAAAAATAATGGTAGGGGCCATTATGGCCATAAATAATGGAGGGAAAGGGCAAAAAGTATGGCCATTATGTATGGAATTGCCTTCGATTATGGCCATTAAGTAAAACAAATAGTGAGCAGTGGAATCCCTCATACGCAAAGGACGAATGCGCGAAAATAAAAATCACACTTGGATTGCTTCGAAAAAGCATGACTCCACATCACCTTGAGGCTACTCTTTTCTCAAAAGTCAATAAAGAGCTTTGGGATGCTAAACTCGTTTCAAAAATGGCCATTATTTATTTTTCCTGAGCGATTATGGAAATAATGGAGATAAAGAAGGACGATTATAGCATAATGTAGGGCGGAAACCCCATTATATGGCCATATATTTTGCAGAACCCCTGGAGTTAAGCCAGGCAACAGTCCCATATCTTGAGCAAGGAAGGTATTAAGGAGAGTTATAGATAAAAATGTTGGGCTTTGGGAATATTCTACCTAAACCTGCAAGCAAGGTGTAATATCAACAACCTAATAAGCCGACACAAGAACACGCTTGAAAAATTTTTAAAGAGAAAAGATAGAATATTAAAAAACTTGTGTGATAGGTCAATCAGAATCTTAGATGAAGTGAGCTTGCCGCAGTGGGTGCAGGAAGTCTTAAGTTTCAGATCAAAACATTGGGTACGGGATAAGATTAACGAAATTGATTTCCTTGCTGATATAAAGAAGTAAAATGAACACCATCTGATTGAACCTTGACTATCTACCATCTTATGTTGCCTTTCATTTGCTTCGCAATTGTTTCCCTATGCCTAAGTTGGTGTACTTGTTTAGGACTGCTACCTCATTCCCCGACATAGTGCAATATAAAACCTCCGACATCAGACAATCGGTTAAGAAAATCATGCAATTACTGTGTGATTTGTCTAGTTCCGCCTATTTAGCGTTTGTTTTTGTCACACGACTGACCTCGAAGGATTCTCCCTCCATCTTTCTACACAAAGCTTCAGACCTTTGGAAATCTTTTACGATTCGTGTGTTAACACTACAACACACCAGCAAAAGTCCTGGTACAACCTAGTTTTGCAACAGAAGAATTTTTTAAATTTGCTAACTAAAGCTCTGACACCGATGCAGCAAGACTAAAAGTTTGCTCAGCCCCTAGAGCCGTTGACTGGCTTGCAGCCCTTGCCTCAGACACCCTGGGTTTTCTTCTTATTGATGAGGCATTCCCCATTGCCGTCGGACTATGTTTAGGCGCCCAGCTCTCACAATATGCACAGCGTTAAATTCGGTAATCATCCTTTGGTTTGCCCTAAAAATAGAAACTTATTAAATATTGTCTTTTTAGATAGAAAAGTCGGGTTGTGACCCCTTATGGTTCATATCAGTGGTGCTAGTTATCTCGAAAATCTGACAAAATCACTGAAATACAGCGACGAGAAAGCTTTCCAAAAATTTTGAGAATGCGTTAAAATTGTAAATTCGCACATTTTTGTGCATCTGCAGGTTTTGAAAATCTAAACTATCTGTACAAAATGATCGGAGATCATAAAAAGAAGAAGTTTTTGCTAATAATTTGCCAAATAAGATCTGCGCTTTTTCACTCAAGTTGGCATTGCTGAAGTGGTAGGCCTACCGGTGAGTCTGCTTTCTTTTGTTCCTCAATTCTACTGGTCAAATGTCGAACAGTTTGTCCGACATAGGTGGAAGTGCATCCACTACGTGACAGTTTGTAAATCACTCTTGACTTGAGTTCATTAGAAAATACTGACTCCAGTGATGTCAAACATGATTCTAGTTCTCATGTGGTGAAAACCACTTGAACGTTAGTTAATTTTCGTAACCTGTTTGCAAAATGTTGGCTCTGGTTACCTCTATATTTCACCATCAGCATTGGGGGCTTCACGTCCTTTTGTGATTGAGATGACAAACACCTCTCACTATCCAGGGACTTGCCCTTACCCTCGATGATTTTGCACAAGGCGTCTGAAGCCACCTTTGGGGACCAATTTTCAGGGTACTGATTTGTCAGCCATTGCGCCCTATTAGTTTCCAGAGCCTTATCATATTGCTTCCAGCTAGATGTACTCCTAAAAACCCTGTGTACAGTCCCTTGGATAACACTACAATTATACTGAGTTGAGGCGCAGCTTCTATAGTTCAGTATAGTATGGTTGTATCTATTGGCTTTTGATACACGCCTACCCTGCGATACATTTATGTTCAGATCCTGGAACGACAAATTTCCCTCCGAATTATTTTCAATAAATCACATACATGTTGGTTCTGAAACATCATGTTAAAAAGTTAACCAATCACAGTTGACCTCTAAGTTACTGTTATGATTAAAATACTTTTAACCTCTAAAATTAATTGAACAGTTTTAAATTAGTTTGTCTACAATTTTCTGAATCATAATTTCGATTTAGACATGTACGATTTAAATTAAAAACCAAATGTATTTTGACACTTAACTTCAGTGTTAACTCCCTGCTCCTAAACTCATCGCGCGTGTTCAAGCCCGGTTTCTCTTTCCTGATATGTATTGCCGCTAGTGTCAACAATTTTTTTTTGGTTGTTTGACCTAGCTATAATTTCCCTTGCCAACTAAGATCTGCGCTATTTCCCTCAAAATGGCCTTGCTGAATGGGTAGGCCAACCGGTGAGTCTGCTTTCTTTGGTTCCTCAATTTTAGTGGTCAAATGTCGAACAGTTTGTCCGACATAGGTGGAAGTGCATCCATTACATGACAGTTTGTAAACCACTCTTGACTTGAGGTCATTAGAAAAGGCTGACTCCAGTGATGGTAAACATGATTCTAGTTTTCTTGTGGTGAAAACCACTTGAAAGTTAGTTTTTTTTGTAACCTGTTAGCAAAAAATTGGCTCTGGTTGCCTCTATATTGCACCATCAGCATTGGGGGCTTCACATCCTTTTGTGATTGAGATGACAAACACCTCTCACTATCCAGGGACTTGCCCTTACCCTCGATGATTTTGCCCAAGGCATCTGAAGCCACCTTTGCGGACCAATTTTCAGGGTACTGATTTGTCAGCCATTGCGCCCTATTAGTTTCCAGAGCCCTATCAAATTGCTTCCAGCTAGATGTACTCCTAAAAACCCTGTGTACAGTCCCTTGGATAACACTACAATTATACTGAGTTGAGGCGCAGCTTCTATAGTTCAGTATAGTATGGTTGTATCTATTGGCTTTTGATACACGCCTACCCTGCGATACATTTATGTTCAGATCCAGGAACGACAAATTCCCCTCCGAAATATTTTCTCTAGAGTGAACTGCAGATTTGGATGAAGAAAATTGACGGCATCGAGAAGACAACCCAGCTCCCCTCTGACTCTTCTAACAATGTCATCCACATACCTGAGGAACAATTTCACCTGGGGAGTATCCTTCTCCTTGTTCTTAGCTCAGCAGCAGCTTTCACAGTACCAGACTATCTCGGTTATTGATGCGTATACATCATCGGGTATTTTTTCGCATTTTAGATGATACCAGTTTCGGCAACTCTCGCATTCAACCCCTTTTGTTCCATATGTGACTTTCCTGCTGCAACATGGGCACAAGCCGTTTTTGTCCTTAATTTACTGTATCTCTGTTCCCACCGGTATTTTTTGTCTAAGAGCAAACTCGTTCTCTTTCAGCCATGGGTTTGTCAGAATTACAGCGAGGGACGCACCCATTGCTAAACGATCAACCTGTACATACCATGAATCATTACACTTGAAATATACTTTGCTGACCGCCATATTCGAAAGCCTTTTCATGGTTGCTCTTTGAATTTCAGGAGGAGACTGCTGGTTGTACAGCTTCTGTAAAGCAATTTCAATTGCCTCCTTCAGGGGAACGTTGGTGTTCAAACTTTTCACATCAAGAGATACTATAGTTTCATCCGGATCTAGAGCAATATTTTCAATTGTTTCTCTGGCCTCTTTAGTATTGGTTTCAATATTGGCTCCATCGATGTAGTCAGAAACTTTGCAAGCATTTTGATAAGATTCTCTTTGTTATGCGAGCTGCCTGGAAGTGATAGTACTGGTCTTAGGGGTGTCTCAGCCTTGTGTACCTTAGCTAAACGTAAAAACGGCCGGGCTGCCCACCCGCTGACCTCATCTTAGAATGTAACTGATCACTTATCTCGTCTCTTTTGTTCATGGCGAGTAATTCTGTGTTAAGTTGCTTTTCAAGTTTGAGTATAACCTCATCAGTGGTTGCATCTTTTTTCACAAACTGAGCAGAATGCAACAAAGATTCCAGCTTTGGTTCATACATTTGTTTCCTCATTATGAAAAAACCAACCCCCTAATCAAAAGGCACAGCCAGCAACCCATTATCTTTGAGGTATTTCCTCGATTTTTTCAACGGCTTTGTCTCCCGGGGTTTGCCTTACGTTTTATGCATATGCCTTTGCCGCGGCTTCTATTTCACATAAAGTTTCACCAGATGTTTTTGATTTTCCAAATGTGAGAGGAAAATGTCGATATCCGCCAAAAAGTGTGTTTCGTTAGTTTTGTCTCTAATGGGATGCTTCGCGCCCATTTAAAGCACTTCATATACCCATCCAAGCAGTTCAATGTTATCAAGTACCTTAACTGATGGCGCGTTTCTCCCCCGACCCAAGAGGTTTATCTTGTCTCTCGGACAGTTTTTCTAACTTGTTTCTATGGTTTTCTGATGTTGTCTTTAGGGTTGCCTCAACTTGACGCCTCACGAAGCGGAAAATTGATGCCCACCAGTGATCTTGCTTTCATTAGCATCTCCTCATACCTTTTCCTATCCTCATTTTTCCTAGAGGTTTCAGTCCTTAGTAGTTGTAATTGAAAATTATGCACCGCATGGTCCGAAAAAACCCCGTTCTCGGGGACCCTAAACTTCAAAAAGTCCGGTAGTAGATCGTTTTTCAGACAGTTTTTTTTTAGGAAACTTCAGTCTATGTACAGATACTTGAATTTTTTTAAAGAGTTTTAAATATTCCAACACATTTTTCCAAGTTAGTTTTCTTTTTAAAATTTGTCTGAGCCAAACAGCAGGCAAAAGTACTGTGGTCATTCTTTTTCAGGCCACGAGTAATGAAACTCACAAGGCAAGCAAACAAATCACACTCTTCTTACCCCTTTTTTTGACCAGCAGACACTTCCTCTGCCTTCAGCTTCCGCTCACGTCTTGCTTTCGCCTTCCTTCTTGTCTGTGATGGTCTCTGTCGTTTGCCCCTGATATTGCCAATCAGCTCTGACAGATTTTTTTTGTGTGCCACTACCAATCGCAGAGATTTCAGTTCCAACTCAGCACTCTGGTGCTGCTTCAAGTATTCTTTGAGCTGCTCCGGGTCGCTTTGCTTGCTCTTGGATACTAGCCGTTTTTTAGCTGGATTACTGAGCACTCCTGTGCCGAGGAGCTGACTAAACAAGTCGGGCGTTCCTTTCTTTCTGCAATAGACGATCGCCAATATCTGCTGCTTCTTCGACTTCAAATAGTTTGTCAGTTCCTCGACACCGGCTGGGCAATAGTTATTTGTTCTGTGGCTGCTTATGGTATTGTTCACCACGTAGTGCCAAAAAACCACTTTTTTCTCCTTCAGTGGACTGTCTTCTAGTAACCGTCGGAGGTTCTTTCCTCGGTTCAGCAAGTTCACATACAATTTGGTTCTAAAACATCGTGTTAAAAAATTGGCCAATCACAGTTGACCTCTAAATTACTATTAAAATTAAATACTTTTAAACAGTTTTAGATCAGTTTGTCTGGAACTTTCTGAATCATAATTTTGATTTAGACATATACATTTTGAATATAAAATCAAAAAAAAATAATTAAACAATTTTAAATTATTTTGTCTGGAAGTTTCTGAGTCATAATTTTGATTTAGACATGTACGTTTTAAATAAAAATTCAAAAAAAAATTTTGGGACTAAATTCTGGATCATAAAAAATGTCATACACATCATTATTTCAAAATAGAAAAATTATAACTAATCACAACTTCACAATTATTACTAAAATTATGTAACAAGTATTGTGTAACAATTTTACTTATTTAGTCACAAATTTCTGAGGGTTCTCATCATTTTTTTTTACAATTTCATTTTTTCGCTATTTTGATGCTAACATAAAATCTATTTCAATTGTTTCATTTTAGCCAAAACTTTTTGATTCTGGAACTTAAGCCTTGATGAAGAAATTTTTGCAAAAAAGTAAATTTCAATCATTTTCGCAACTAAGTGCATCGTCAGAATTTTTGCAATGAACTAATCTAAATGACGACAAAACATCAGTTTACAAATGTTATTTACAATAAATCACATACATGTTGGTTCTGAAACTTCATGTTAAAAAGTTAGCCAATCACAGTTGACCTCTAAGTTACTGTTATGATTAAAATACTTTTAACCTCTAAAATTAATTGAACAGTTTTAAATTAGTTTGTCTAGAATTTTCTGAATCATAATTTCGATTTAGACATGTACGATTTAAATTAAAAACCAAAGGTATTTTGGGACTTAAAATCAGTGTTAACTCCCTGCTCCTAAACTCATCGCGCGTGTTCAAGCCCGGTTTCTCTTTCCTGATATGTATTGCCTCTAGTGTCAACAATTTTTTTTGGTTGTTTGACCTAGCTATAATTTCCCTTCCCAACTAAGATCTGCGCTATTTCCCTCAAAATGGCCTTGCTGAATGGGTAGGCCAACCGGTGAGTCTGCTTTCTTTGGTTCCTCAATTTTAGTGGTCAAATGTCGAACAGTTTGTCCGACATAGGTGGAAGTGCATCCCTTACATGACAGTTTGTAAACCACTCTTGACTTGAGGTCATTAGAAAAGGCTGACTCCAGTGATGGTAAACATGATTCTAGTTTTCTTGTGTTGAAAACCACTTGAACGTTAGTTTTTTTTGTAACCTGTTAGCAAAAAATTGGCTCTGGTTGCCTCTATATTGCACCATCAGCATTGGGCGCTTCACATCCTTTTGTGATTGAGATGACAAACACCTCTCACTATCCAGGGACTTGCCCTTACCCTCGATGATTTTGCCCAAGGCGTCTGAAGCCACCTTTGCGGACCAATTTTCAGGGTACTGATTTGTCAGCCATTGCGCCCTATTAGTTTCCATAGCCTTATCAAATTGCTCCCAGCTAGGTGTACTCCTAAGAACCCTGTGTACAGTGCCTTGGATAACACTACGCTTATACTGAGTTCGGGCGCAGCTTCTATATGTCAGTATAATCCCTGTATCTGTTGGTTTTTGATACCGACTGCAAGTTACACGCCTACCCTGCGATACATTTTTGTTCAAATCCAGGAACGGCAAATTCCCCTCCGAATTAATTTTCTCTAGAGTGAACTGCAGATTTGGATGAAGAGAATTGGCGGCATCGAGAAGACAACCCGGCTCCCCTTTGACTGTTCTAACAATGTCATCCACATATCTGAATAACAATTTCACCTGGGGAGTATCCTTCTCCTTGTTCTTAGCGCGGCAGCAGCTTTCACAGTACCAGACTATCACGGTTATTGATGCGTATATGTCATCGGATATTTTTCCGCATTTTAGATGATACCAGTTTCAGCAGTTCTCGCTTTCAACCCCCTTTAATCTATATTTGACTTTCCTGCTGCAACATGGGCCCAAGCCATTTTTGTCCTTAATTTGCGGCATCTCCGTTCCACTCGGTATTTCTTGTCTTGAGCAAACTCGTACTCTTTCAGCCATAAGTTTGCCAGAATTACAGCAAGGGACGCGCCCATTGCTAAACCATCAACTTGTACATACCATGAATCATTACATTTGAAATATACTTTGCTGACCGCCATAATCAAAAGCCTTTTCATGGTTGCTCTTTGAATTTCAGGAGACTCTTGGCTGTACAGCCTCTGTAAAGCAATTTCAATTGCCTCCTTCAGGGGAACGTTGGTGTACAATTTTTTCACATCATGAGATATTATGGTTTCATCCGGATCTAGAGCAATGTTTTCAATTGTTTCTCTGGCCTCTTTAGTATTGGTTTCTATTTTGGCTCCATCTATGTAATCAAAAACTTTGCAAGCATTTTGATAAGATTCTCTTTGTTATGCGAGCTGCCTGGAAGTGATAGTACTGGTCTTAGGGGTGTCTCAGTTTTGTGTACCTAGGCTAAACCGTAAAAACGGGAGGGTTGCCCCCCTGTTGACCTCATCTTAGAATATAACTGATCACTTTTCTCGTCTCTTTTGTTCATGGCTAGTAATTCTTTGTTAAGTTCCTTCTCATTATAATCTCATCAGTGGTCGCATCTTTTTTTTACAAACTGAGCAGATTGCAACAAAGATTCCAGCTTTGATTCATACGTTTAATTCCTCATTATGCAAAAACCAACCCCCTTATCAAAAGGCACAGCCAGCAATTCAATATCTTTGAGGTATTTCCTCGTTTTTTTCAACCGTTTTGTCTCGTGGGGTTTGCCTTACGTTTTTTGCAAACGCCTTTGCCGCGGCTTCTATTTCACATAACGTTTCACCAAATGGTTTTTGATTTTTTAATTAGGAAATGTCGGGCCCATTGATAGCACTTCAGATACCCATTCAGGCAGTTCAATGTTATCATTGTTATCTCATTTCTCCCCCAAGAGGTTTATTTTGTCTCTCGCACAGTTTTTCTAATTTTTTTCAATGGTTTTCTGATGTTGTCTTTAAGCTTGCCTCAACTTGATGCCTCACGAAGCGTTAAATGGATGCCCACCACTGTTCGTCAATTTCTTTTTGCACCAGTGATCTTGCTTTCGTTAGCATCTCCTCATACCTTTTCCTATCCTCATTTTTCCTAGAGGTTTCAGTCCTTAGTAGTTGTAATTGAAAATTATGCACCGCATGGTCCGAAAAAACCCCGTTCTCGGGGACCCTAAACTTCAAAAAGTCCGGTAGTAGATCGTTTTTCAGACAGTTTTTTTTTAGGAAACTTCAGTCTATGTACAGATACTTGAATTTTTTTAAAGAGTTTTAAATATTCCAACACATTTTTCCAAGTTAGTTTTCTTTTTAAAATTTGTCTGAGCCAAACAGCAGGCAAAAGTACTGTGGTCATTCTTTTTCAGGCCACGAGTAATGAAACTCACAAGGCAAGCAAACAAATCACACTCTTCTTACCCCTTTTTTTGACCAGCAGACACTTCCTCTGCCTTCAGCTTCCGCTCACGTCTTGCTTTCGCCTTCCTTCTTGTCTGTGATGGTCTCTGTCGTTTGCCCCTGATATTGCCAATCAGCTCTGACAGATTTTTTTGTGTGCCACTACCAATCGCAGAGATTTCAGTTCCAACTCAGCACTCTGGTGCAGCTTTCAATATTCCTTGAGCTGCTCCGGGTCGTCTTGCTTGCTCTTGGAGAGTAGTCGTTCTGTAGCTGGCATAATAATCACTCCTGTGCCGAGAAGCTGACTAAACAAGTCGGGCGTTCCTTCCCTTCTGCAATACACAACCGCCAATATCTGCTGCTTCTTCGACTTCAAATAGTTTGTCAGTTCCTCGACACCGGCTGGGCAATAGTTATTTGTTCTGTGGCTGCTTATGGTGTTGTTCACCACGTAGTGCCAAAAAACCACTTTTTTCTCCTTCAGTGGACTGTCTTCTAGTAACCGTCGGAGGTTCTTTCCTCGGTTCAGCAAGTTCACATACAATTTGGTTCTAAAACATCGTGTTAAAAAATTGGCCAATCACAGTTGACCTCTAAATTACTATTAAAATTGAAAACTTTTAAACAGTTTTAGATTAGTTTGTCTGGAAATTTCTGAATCATAATTTTGATTTAGACATATACATTTTAAACATAAAATCAAAAATATTTTGGGACTAAATTTTCAGTGTTATCTCCCTGTTCCTAAACTCATCGCGCGTGTTCAAGCCCGGTTTCTCTTTCCTGATATGTATTGACTCTAGTGTCAACAATTTTGTTCGGTTGTTTGACCAAGCTATAATTTATCAACTAAGGTCTGCGCTATTTCCCTCAAGTTGGCTTTGCTGAATGGGTAGGCCTACCGGTGGGTCTGCTTTCTTTGGTTCCTCAATTCTAGTGGTCAAATGTCGAACAGTTTGTCCGACATAGGTGGAAGTGCATGCATTACATGACAGTTTGTAAACCACTCTTGACTTGAGGTCATTAGAAAAGGCTGACTCCAGTGATGGTAAACATGATTCTAGTTTTCTTATGGTGAAAACCACTTGAATGTTAGTTATTTTTCGTAACCTGTTAGCAAAAAATTGGATCTCGTTGCCTCTATATTGCACCATCAGCATTGGGGGCTTCACATCTTTTGGTGATTGAGGTGACAAACACCTCTCACTATCCAGGGGCTTGCTCCCTATCCTATGAACCCTGTGTACAGTGGCTTGGATAACACTAAGCGTATACTGAGTTGGGGCGCAGCTTCTATAGTTCAGTACAGTCCCTGTATCTGTTGGTTTTTGATACCGACTGCAAGTTACACCCCAACCCTGTGATACATTTATGTTCAAATCCAGGAACGGCAAATTTTCCTCCGAATTAGTTTTCTCTAGAGTGAACTGCAGATTTGGATGAAGAGAATTAACAGCTTCGAGAAGACAATTTGGCTCCCCTCTGACTGTTCTAACAATGTCATCCACATACCTGAGGAACAATTTCACCTGGGGAGTATCCTTCTCCTTGTTCTTAGCTCGGCAGCAGCTTTCACAGTACCAGACTATCTCGGTTATTGATGCGTATACATCATCGGATGTTTTTCCGCATTTTAGATGATACCATTTTCGGCAAGTCTCGCATTCAACCCCTTTTGATCCATATGTCACTTTCCTGCTGCAACATGGGCACAAGCCATTTTTGTCCTTAATTTGCTGCATCTCCGTTCCCACTGGTATTTCTTGTCTTGAGCAAACTCTTACTCTTTCAGCCATATGTTTGCTGGAATTACAGCGAGGGACGCGCCCAGTGCTAAACCATCAACTTGTACACACCATGAATCATTACACTTGAAATATACTTTGCTGACCGCCATAATCAAAAGCCATTTCATGGTTGCTCTTTGAGTTTCAGGAGGAGACTGTTGGCTGTACAGCTTCTCTAAAGTAATTTCAATTGCCTCGTTCAGGTGAACGTTGGTGTACAAACTTTTCACATCAAGAGATTTTATGGGTTCATCCGGATCTAGAGCAATGTTTTCAATTGTTTCTCTGGCCTCTTCAGTATTGGTTTCTATCTTGGCTCCATCGATGTTGTCAAAAACTTTGCAAGCATTTTGTTAAGATTGTCTTTGTTATGCGAGCTGCATGGAAGTGGTAGTACTAGTCGTAGGGGTGTCCCAGCCTTGTGTACCTCAGCTAAACCGTACAAACGGGCGGATTGCCCCCCTGTTGACCTCGTCTTAGAATATAACTGATCACTTATCTCGTCTCTTTTGTTCATGGCTAGTAATTCTTTGTTAAGTTCCTTCTCATTATAAAAATTTTTATACTGGCCCTTTAATGGGAAAACAGTTGAAATTTTAAGCTCTTCGCTTTTTGGTTTATCACAAATTAACAAGTAAAATTGAAGAAGTTTTTGCAAAGAAGTAAACTTCAAACGTTTTCGCAACTATGTGCATCGACAGGTTTTTTTTCCAATATAGCACAATATTGGCATTTTTGGTGTCTCTTAAGCCTTAGTGTCAGCTTCCTACTAGTAAACTCATCGTGCGTATTAATTGCCTATCTCGCTTTTGTAATGTGCAGCGCCTCTAATGTAAGTAACTTGATGCTCCTGGACGCCTGGTCGATTATGTTTCAATTAAACTCCAACTTACCAATATCACTGCCACACTGCCTTATATGCTGTCCAACAGGGATATCCTCTTTTCGGTGTTCCTCAATCCTTGTGGTGAGATGTCGGACCATCGGACCAACATAAGTTGATTTGCACCCAAAATATTCAAGTCTGTATACTGCTATTGATTTCAGTTCACTGGAAAAGGAGGATCGTAAAATTGCATACAAGTTTTAATTTTCCTGGTCGTGAATGATATCTGCTCATAGGTGATATCGCGCACATTTTTTCCATCAATGTCTTACTGTGATTACCCCTATATTGAACCATCAAGATGGGTGGTGAATCACTGCTTTAATCATAAGGCTT